AGGGTCATGTCCACCAGCCACTTGGCCCACAAAACGTCAAGCGGGCCGCCGGATGTTTTACTCTTGTATACAACATATTCCTCAAATGGAAGAATGCCTGAAATGGGTGGTTTTCTGTGGGTGTCCGTTTAAAGTCACCAAACAATTGTACCCTCGACAAAGGCACACCGAAAACTAAAGGCAGACACCAACCATTTGCTGACTCGGCCAGTGAAATTCGGCCAGTTCGCTCGCAGACCCTGGTCAGCTCATGTTTTTTGTTTTTTTTGCCTATATACGATTGTCTCTCTCAAAAGCAGTATATCACAGCATACAAAATAGCCCGACTTGTTCATGCAGGCTTTGCAAGGTAATGGCCAAACATACTTAACATAGAGTATGAACACGCAATACACGATTCCCTGTGCAAAACTGAAGCTATTCTATACAGCTTACTTATTCGGGACTGTGTGATCACTCCCTGATCACGTGCCTTTGATGGCTGCTTTTGAAGCGACCGATCAAATTGCGGCGTCGACGAATGGAGCAAAAGGGCGAACTTGTCAGCCCTTGATGAGGGTGACATTTGGAACCAACCAAAAACATGGGCAAGATGGTCAAGCTCAAAATAAATATACGCACAGCCAACAGGTCTGAACCATTGCGCCTGCTTACTACCTTGGCTGTGGCCTGAACGCACATTTAGTTGATTTCATGTAACCCAAACCCCGGTGAGGCCCTCCCCAATGGATCCCCTTCGGGCATTAGTATTGTGTTGTTCTCCAAACAAACTCTACTGCTGAAGCCATACTAGGGCATCCATTGAGGGGTATCTTTGGAGGAGGGAGGTGGGGCTGAGGTTTCCATGCAAACCAGCCAATGTTCACCCCTGACGGTTGACGACGCACTTCCACTCGGAGTGTTTTGATTGGCGGTGCAAACACAGCATTTCTGTCTGGTCAAAACCACTTGCACCCCTCCTTGTATCAAGGGGTCTGCTTTGGACCACCAAGGGCAAGACACAGACACACGCCGCATAGGCCGGGCCGACGGCAACCGATCCAAGGTCGCTCGGAGGAAGCGCACTGGGGACCGCACCCACATGGACCCATTCACTCCAGAAAGGGCCTTAGATCGGCGGCCAGGCCGATACGAGTCTTTCCAACATGAACCCCATGTATCTACCAAAACCCGCCCTACGAATGTACGCGAAGTACATTCTGGGAGCTGTAGCTCGAAAATTGCATTTTAAGAACGGAAAATAGCACGCGAATTGCAAGGGCCGGCTGACATTCCTGACAGCGATGATTTCTTGCTTGGAACAAGGGACACCCTTCGCCTGAACATAACTCACCTGGAGTCACTGGAGCGACTGGCAATGAGCCCCGCCTAGCTTGTACGTACTCAGGGTAAGGAGAAATCATCTAAACTTCGGCATGTGACATGCGGGATACAGTGAAAGTCTCCCTTTGTGGCTCTGGTTTGGTTTCATATTCAGTGAACGCTAAGATATGAAGTAGTTTGGAGGAGGCTTCAATTTTTGGGCTTCCAAGTCACTCCAGCACCTATCAGCTTCTTGGGGCTTGCCTGACAAATTCTCTGCTGGAGATCTTGATCACTACCAAAATCACGTACCAAGTGATGTCTGTGAAAGAAGTTGTCGAGACGCTACAACGCAAACCAAAGCCGTTGTCAAGGATCAGAGCGGGGTTGCCCGTTCACTGTAAGAAAATCAACCAGGCCCCACTTCACGGATGCCAACACGAAACGAGCTGCTTGAACAGGACAATATGTGCAGCATCCATTGGGCTGTGGGTCAAAATGAAAACACCAGGAATCGGACCGCTGGTTTTAGTGGTTGTTTTTTATTTACCAGGGCAAGCCATTTTGGGGTAAACCGTTTTTTGACCCACACCCTATTTGAACCTATCATTACCCATGGGCCCATCTTCTCCGCGAAGCCCAGAGCCCCGGGCCTTGCTGGTGTTCTCATGCCTCGGCGAGCTCATCGGTTTCGACACAAAGGAAACATGCTGTCGCTGGACACACCTGTCCCAGGGGACAGGTGCAAAATAGGAAACACCCAAAATATGGGGTTCTTCTTTTGGTTTCCTCCAATCAAATGGTATCCTTAAGGAAAATAATGTACTGGTAAAGCATTGCCAATGACACCAGTGGAACTGTGCTTAATAACTTAATCAAACTGAAGAACAACAAATGCCACCACACATTGCATTGTCATCATTGTTTCTTGGCGGCTGACTACCATCCCGGCTTTTTTGTTCGGGGAAACTTGGGTAGGCATGGTTCCCCTGACAGCAGCCTTCTAGTGGGCTCATGTAAGTTGGTGGGAGGGTAACGGACAAGTGACAGACTCATAGAACCTAGATAGACAATTCTACAGGAACTCGGACGAATGCCCACCAAACATGGATTTCCTTTAGACTTTCCGAAATTGGATTGGGATTCACGAATCTCGTTTTGGGAGCCGAACCCCACATCCCGAAATGCGGAGCGATCACGGGTAGCTCGCTTCCTGAGTCGATTGGCCAAAACCAGTCAGAACTTTTGTTCGCCACTAAAACGGTCCAAAACCCAAGCAGTGACAAGAGTTGTCCAAAGACTCACCCGGGTGAGTTCCTGTTCTTCAGATCCCTTTCGGGCTGATTCCGGCGCGAGCCCGAGCTTTCCGGGCTGGATCTGCTGCTGCTGAAGCTTCTCCATCTCAGCAGCCACCTGCGGCAGCCGTCCGAAGCCCACTCCAACCTTAGAAACCCCGTCGTTCAGCGTTTTCTTCTTTTTTTGCTTTTAGAACCGGGTGAACCCAAAGATCCCACTGGAAAACTCCTTTCGGACCCGGAGCTGGGCTCCATGTTCAGTTGGGTCTGCTCTTGCAAACCAACTCGCTTGGAACACGTGGGCCTTCATCAGCTTCCAAGTCCAGCTTTACGAGATCCCTTGGTGGAAGCCCTGCTGGTTCCACTTGTTTCTTCCACGCGGACAGGTGCAAACCCAAAGTCTTGATGTTTTCCATTGGAAGGATCTTCTCAGGACCCAGGGAGTAACTTCAGAGCTCTAACTCGGGATATGCCCAATGATTACCGTAGACCGCAACTGGACACCCAAAGCTCGACTCCATGATAGCCATTTTGGTAGAGCCAATGGAGTCGCAACGAACACCCGGTACAAAAAGGGATCTACCTAAATCCATGAAAGAGGCCGGATATCTGCACCTTTTTCTGCCTGCGATCCCCTGCTCATCTTCAACCTTGACTTTGATTGTGGCTCAATTGCCAAGTCCTGAAGTTTGCCGACTCAATGACGTTTTGCAACGTTGAGGGAGAAACAAGGTTCAATACCCACATTGCATGTTGCCGCCCAACAAGGCACGATGCATAAGCAGTTGATCAACAAGGGGCGGGCTCCGCGCCATTTTGCAATTGGAACCACCCCCAGAGCTGCAGCTTGAGAAGCACAGCTTAACTCTCTTTTTCTTCGCGCACCGGCCGTAGGTATTGGGTGAATATCGCATGTCAATGCTCCAAAGACACGGCTGGGAAATGCGGAAAAGCGGAAATGTTCTGCAGGCTGTTCCAAAGGCCGATCCGATTTCCTTAGAGCAACACCACAACCCCAAAGGGGTAAGCCGAGAAATGACAAATTTCTGTCGAATAATTAGCCCGGTCTCTGTTTTGCAAGCAAGCATGAACCCTTTGATTTCACCAGCCGGGGCGGGGCGAAAAAAGCGCCGGCTATTAGCCAGGCTCTTTGAAGCAACCTGCCTCGATGCTACGAGCATGACTTGTGAGGTCCGGTCAAAATGCGAAGTCTGCGTTCAATATGGGGCTCGGATAGGGGACTCTCCAAACATTCAACTAAAGCCATGACAAAGCCCAGCTTAAATACGTCCATGAGTAACTTGCAGATAAATTTCGACCGTGGCTGTCCTCTGTAGTCCGGGCGCTGTCGAGACTCCATGGATTGTCATGGCCACCCCAATGCGTGGAACCACCCAACACGTTTCCCAAAAACCCAACTCTTAGGCCTTTGGGCCCCAGGCCCCTAACTACGAGTGAGGGGCCCCCTTGAAGCCTTGAGAGTGCCCGCAACCATGGGCAACTCATTGTGCGCCACACGCTATCCTGGAGGGCAGACCTCACGTAGGACAACATGCCCCCCAAACGCTCGTCATGTTGGCCGTGCCATGACTTGCGACTGTGGTGGTGACTGTTTCCAAGTTCAAGTGGATCCCAAAACGAAACTGGTGCCCCATTCCCCCCGCACCCCGCACTATTTATGCTTCGATGCGTCCAATGCCTGCAAAAAACTAGAAACATGAAATTAGAGGACCTTGAGCCCACCCAACCCCGCCCCCCCTACGATGGCGGGAATGAACTTGAAAGAGATATCTAACCCGATTTTGGCGTTTGCCTCAAACGCCGCCCTAGCTTGCTTTGCCTCTGATTCGTTTGACATCTGAGATGCCGAGCTGCAGTTCTCGATCTTGCCCAGCATTTCTCAGCGGCAATACAAAAGTCGGCCCTTTCTTGCTGGTCCAGTTTGAAGGTCCCTCACACACCCGCACACACACACACACCAACAAAAAAGCTAGGAAACCCGGGTGCCTCTCTCCTCAGCCGACGTCCTGCTCCCCCAAAGCTGAAGACACTGTGTTGAACCGGGAACAACATGGCGACCATCTCCGCTGTTTTGGTGAATGTCCCCCTTTTGCTGTAGGAGGGCCGGAGGGCCTGGTCTTCTCCAAAACCCTCTTCCAGCTAGAATGGCTGAGCCTTACCATGACTGTTGGTTGGTTGGTTGTTTGTTGGCTGGCCGGTCAGTCGGTCGGTTGGTCGGTAGTTGTTTCTTGAGCTTCAACTCACTTCCCCGAAAAGACCCAGTAGAACCATGCTGGCCTTTGGGAACCTTCACCAAAAACGGATCTGTAAACCGAGCAAAGGTCCAAAGGTCCGGTTGGGAAGTGAGTCAAGCGAGCGCAACGCCTGGGGCCCACTGCGAGATCACCTGCTAGGCCGCAGAGTGTACGCGAAGGCCTCGAGATCCGAAAGGCGCAACTCTCAAGCTCCAGTTGCCACCAGTCCTGGAGGGGAACCATTTCTTTTTTCGGGGAGCCCGAGAAGCTTGAGATTCATAGGGTTAACTCATAGGGGAAAAAGCCCCTTCTGTAATGGACGGGAATCCTGATGTGTCCCTCGTAAACATCGCCCTGCCAAAAGGAGACTGATGTCAACATGGCCTCAAAGATGATGCTTCAATCTTCCATAAACAGACTTAAGGACCCTTGATCAAGGCCTTCCACATGAACAAACGCTCCAAGGGAGTTTCCTGGCAGCACAAAAGCGGGGAGTTCTGGTTCGGCCAAAAACGACACCACGCCACAGTTAGACCCTGTCATGAACAAATATGTTCTGATTGCGTGCTGCACTTTTGAAGGCCTGTGATTTACCACATATATCCAAACTGCACTCCAGGCCCGACTTAGTGTGATCGCTTCAAAGAGCACTGGTCGTAAACTATAATCATGGGTTACACCCATCGCACTACCAGTAGCTAAAATTGGCCTTGGCTTCTCTGATCACGTCTCAATCAGCCCTGCCACTGCCTTATTACAAGAGACTCCCCGAGTGAATAAAAACCCAGCCTCAAATCAGCTTTACCCAAGACCAGGTGGATACAGATGGAACCGAAAGTTTCGGACCCCACTGGAAGACCATGTTCCACCAGGGATCCTCTTTCATCCTTCAGGTTTCATGTCTGTTGCCCCCGAATGCTTACGCAGCTTTTCGGCAAGTGCCTCTGAGCCGGCTTCAGGTGTCTATAAGAGGGGTCCGCAGCCCTCGACGCTGCTTATGACCTTATGACTCCCAAGGAATGGCCCACTATCCCCAGTCTCCAACAGTCCATGACAGAACCCAAATACCCCAGGCCATGTGCTCCGGAAGGCTCAAGACCGTATGTAAAAAACACGTGTTTATATGTACATATCTATATACTGGCTTGCCTCAGAATGAAAGACCCCACAACATGGATGGTTGTCTTTCTGATTTCCTCTAAACCAACAAAAAGGGATACTTACCATATACATGTGTATATATATACACATACATATGGCAAATCCTCAAGTGATAAGAAGCGCTCATTCGGCTGCTTGACCAAGCTGAAAGGAATACCAGGAATCATAAACTTCTGGTGGAATGTGAAGCAGTTGGGGTGATTTGTTTTTCTTCGAAAAGACTCCTTTGCTTGCTTGTGGAAACATCCTTGAACCCACCGGGTTGATTCTGGGGTCGACATTGAACAGGATCCCAGTTACCACTCTACGCCAAACCAGACCATATCCAGTTACCACTCTACGCCAAACCAGACCATATCCAGTTGCCACTCTACGCCAAACCAGACCATATCCAGTTACCACTCTACGCCAAACCAGACCATATCCAGTTACCACTCTACGCCAAACCAGACCATATCCAGTTACCACTCTACGCCAAACCAGACCATATCCAGTTACCACTCTACGCCAAACCAGACCATATCCAGTTACCACTCTACGCCAAACCAGACCATATCCAGTTACCACTCTACGCCAAACCAGACCATATCCAGTTACCACTCTACGCCAAACCAGACCATATCCAGTTACCACTCTACGCCAAACCAGACCATATCCAGTTACCACTCTACGCCAAACCAGACCATATCCAGTTACCACTCTACGCCAAACCAGACCATATCCAGTTACCACTCTACGCCAAACCAGACCATATCCAGTTACCACTCTACGCCAAACCAGACCATATCCAGTTACCACTCTACGCCAAACCAGACCATATCCAGTTACCACTCTACGCCAAACCAGACCATATCCAGTTACCACTCTACGCCAAACCAGACCATATCCAGTTACCACTCTATCCAGTTACCACTCTACGCCAAACCAGACCATATCCAGTTACCACTCTACGCCAAACCAGACCATATCCAGTTACCACTCTACTCTACCGCCAGAGACCATATCCAGTTACCACTCTACGCCAAACCAGACCATATCCAGTTACCACTCTACGCCAAACCAGACCATATCCAGTTACCACTCTACGCCAAACCAGACCATATCCAGTTACCACTCTACGCCAAACCAGACCATATCCAGTTACCACTCTACGCCAAACCAGACCATATCCAGTTACCACTCTACGCCAAACCAGACCATATCCAGTTACCACTCTACGCCAAACCAGACCATATCCAGTTACCACTCTACGCCAAACCAGACCATATCCAGTTACCACTCTACGCCAAACCAGACCATATCCAGTTACCACTCTACGCCAAACCAGACCATATCCAGTTACCACTCTACGCCAAACCAGACCCATATCCAGTTACCACTCTACGCCAAACCAGACCATATCCAGTTACCACTCTACGCCAAACCAGACCACATCCAGTTACCACTCTACGCCAAACCAGACCATATCCAGTTACCACTCTACGCCAAACCAGACCATATCCAGTTACCACTCTACGCCAAACCAGACCATATCCAGTTACCACTCTACGCCAAACCAGACCATATCCAGTTACCACTCTACGCCAAACCAGACCATATCCAGTTACCACTCTACGCCAAACCAGACCATATCCAGTTACCACTCTACGCCAAACCAGACCATATCCAGTTACCACTCTACGCCAAACCAGACCATATCCAGCTACCACTCTACGCCAAACCAGACCATATCCAGTTACCACTCTACGCCAAACCAGACCATATCCAGTTACCACTCTACGCCAAACCAGACCATATCCAGTTACCACTCTACGCCAAACCAGACCATATCCAGTTACCACTCTACGCCAAACCAGACCATATCCAGTTACCACTCTACGCCAAACCAGACCATATCCAGTTACCACTCTACGCCAAACCAGACCATATCCAGTTACCACTCTACGCCAAACCAGACCACATCCAGTTACCACTCTACGCCAAACCAGACCATATCCAGTTACCACTCTACGCCAAACCAGACCATATCCAGTTACCACTCTACGCCAAACCAGACCACATCCAGCTACCACTCTACCAAACCAGACCATATCCAGTTACCACTCTACGCCAAACCAGACCATATCCAGTTACCACTCTACGCCAAACCAGACCATATCCAGTTACCACTCTACGCCAAACCAGACCATATCCAGTTACCACTCTACGCCAAACCAGACCATATCCAGTTCCACTCTACGCAAAACCAGACCATATCCAGTTTCCACTCTACGCCAAACCAGACCATATCCAGTTACCACTCTACGCCAAACCAGACCACATCCAGTTACCACTCTACGCAAAACCAGACCACTCTACGCCAAACCAGACCACATCCAGCTACCACTCTACGCAAAACCAGACCATATCCAGTTACCACTTTACGCCAAACCAGCCATATCGCATAGTTGCAGGAAGAAAATGGAACTGGGCAAGATAATCTCTTATTCTATCATCTTTGCTTGCGACACGCTTCTGACGTATTCAGGTCCCGGCAGCCGGAACCGGTGGGCTGAGCCGCATCCTGCGGCCATGGCGGAAAAAAAAGAAAGAAGAAACAACGCCACGCCTTTGCTCCCGGAAAGCGACTTTTTTTTTCTCCCGCAGACACCCTCCCAACTTGGAACCCAGCGAGGTGTCTCTCGTTCAGGACCCTCCAGGTGAGCCTCCATAGCGGGGTAGGTAAATTTGCCTGCATACAACGCAACTTGTTTGGGCGGATAACAGCAGGTTGGACATGCCGATTCATTTCACTGCGAACGACCAATGGATCCAAGCCTGCTGACGATTGGAAGATGCTTGCATGATAACTTTGCGAGTTTGTGGTTGGAAACCCTACAAATGACATCCAAAACAGCAACCTTCTTGGAGGAGTTTTTTTTTTTAAAGAAATGCACTTACACAAAGAAATGGCAACCAGCAAAAAAGAGCACAGGAGTCCATGACTTTGAGACTCCGCGCCTAATATTGGCTTTTAGGTGAAACAAGCATATCCCTTACCAGTTTGACCAGCTTCTCCGATTTCCATTGAGAAGAGTACTTGGCCTTTTGGCGGTGATCGTATTAAAAGTCTTCCAGTTCTCAAGTGCAGGTGACCAATCTGACATTGCAAACAGTTCCAGCCTCCGCCAGTGTTACAAACGGCGCTACATGTATAGACGTTCGTCGGTGCCATTTTGTGCCATCGCGTGCCGAAAGATGTACCTGCAATCTGAGAAGGCAGGCGTGATGTACAGTGGTGCCCTCTCATGTTTGCAAATCCGATGGTGTGGCGCTTCGAATGCGCCACTCCTGATTTGTCATTTATTTGATATCCGAGGCGCGTTTGGAAGGTTTGCGGTTGGTATTTGTTTGGGTTTCATTCCCAACGGCTTTCATCACAGAGGAGGGTGAGAGTTGCGACAAGAAAATTGTAGAAAATTGTTGACCAAAAGGCGGGAGTTCAAGGAACTATCCACCTGGGCCCACCCATCCGACAACACTTCCTATACTTGCAACTTGACAGCACAAAATGTCAAATGTCCAAAGTCCAAAGCTCCAGCGGGCTTGTGCACCACTCTATCCAGGAACCCTAGGAAGAGGAGAGGGAAATACCTGGGCAATTTTCAGCTCTGATGTTGCGCACAGCAGATGATCCGAAATGCAGTGCGGGTGCCAAGCTGGTTCCTAGAGTTGGCCTTGCTTCCACGGGCTTCCGTGGGCATGTTTTGCGATGTTTGCTTCCACAGCCACAGTGGTTCATTTTGGGCCTCCCTTGCAACTTTTGGTGTTCAACACAAAAATCCTTGCAAGCCTGGACGCAAACCTTCCTGCAGCCCCACGCACTTGTTGCATGAATCATGCCCACTCGCTTACTTGATAAAACAATCGTGTAAAAATACAACCCTCGCTTGGAAGCAAGGAGACTGCGAGACCCCTCAAATCTTGGAACAAAACATGAAGGGGTCGAACTTTGAGAACACTGGAGTGCGCAAAATGGTGGAGCCATCAACCATCCGCCGATCCCATCCCCTCTGCGGTCCCTGGAGAGCCAGACGGAGTGGAGCTGGCTCTGAGTAGTGGGTCCTTGCGGGCCGGCAGATGAGCAGACAGCAGCACCGCCCGCCTTAAACTTTGGGCGGGAACCCCACCTTTGTTGGCTTTAAATGGAAAGCAGAAGCAAGAAAACCAGCCTGGGGCTCCCTCGCTTTTAAGAAAAGCACATTCGACCCGTTCCTCAAGAGGACAGACATTCTCTGGCCAGATGCCCCAAAAATAAAGGGTGGACTCCGACCGAGACTAACCGCGAACCACATTGAACAAATCCGAACGGTCAGAAGGTCGCTGACGGCGTCGTTTGCAGCCCCGCGGATACAAACGGACGCTTCCCAACGCTTGCTGACGCTTGCGAACACACCGACATATCTGGCGAAGACACATGCCGGCCCTGAGACCCCCTCTACAATGCGAACCCTTCTGCTACGCATTCGAGAATGCTTCAAATTTAGTCTATACCCTAAACCCTAAATGAATAGACACCTTTCGTGGTTCGTGGGTCTCACAATATATAAGGGATCGATATGACCACCCTGAAGAGTACAAATGTTAGCTCTTTGGGCGAACACCGTGCTTTCAGGCGAAGCGGCACTTCTTGTCATGATTGCGAAACGGCGAGTATTTGCAGCGAAAAGGCAATTGTCGATGTCCCTAATCAGCATCACATTTCGAAGCGCAACGGCGATGTTTGGCAGTGCAACGGCTACTTTCCAGTTCTAATTATCGTGCAGACATCAAGGATTTGATGCTGCTTGAGATGGCGAAACGACTGTTTCATTCGAAACGCCTGACAAAAAAAATGCCGTTTCACGAAACGGCTAAAATCCCAGTATGGCAATCGTGGGACCCAGGATCCAAAGCAACACCAACCCAATTTGTGGAGTCCTTTTGACGTTTTGAGGATCCGAAAGTCCTCGAACAAATGGTTGGATGTGGCACGGATGCCTCATGTTGTTGGCAAAACAGATGGGTGGCATTGCTAAATAAAATAAGAGGAATCCATCGATTTCTATCCAACTTGAACTGAACGAGGGACGCTCAAGTAAAAGGCCTTGATCATTGTGAACCCAGCTCACCCAAAAGGACACCCAATGTCCGATTTCTGTAGGCACTGTCAGCCTTGCCCCCGTGTCCCCCCAACTAAAACGGCACACCACCAGTATTCTCCACTCTCATCAATTTTGACCTGAGAGTCCACACATGGAAACAAGCCTTCGTCACACAGCGGCATTCCTGCATTCCCCCCCTTGACATCCCGCGACTTCGGTCCGCACCTTCTGGGGGCTTGCGGGTCCATGCACCGCCCGGAGGGAGTGCCCGTGGGAGTGCCCGTGCGGCCCCTGCGTAGGCATCTTGAGCTGCCTTTGAGAGGTAGTCTCCCCACAAGGCCCTCCCACAAATCAACAGAAGTGTACCCCATCCCAAAACCTCTTTAGGTTGCTTAGGAGTCTTTGGCTTTTGATTGATAGACTTCCCAGATGCCACCGTGCAATAAACTTGAAAGTGTTGATTAATTAGGAGCCGAAGACTGGCCCAAACGTCTCCGAATGGTTCAGGCTTCATCTGGTCTCTGTTCGCTCTGAGGCTGAATTGGAAAACAAATAACCCAGGCCCCCCTGGATGAGTATAATAAAACGGGAACAAGATCGCTTGTGGGATAAAAATAAATAAATCCCCATCCGTCGGATCAGGTGATCAGGTCTCCTGCCTTGCATCTACACAACCCATTTCAAGCGGTGCTGTGCCACAGTTGGATACTGCCACAAGCGCGTGGACCCAGTTTGAACTCTTCTGCTGTGTAAACATATGACACCCTCAAATGCCACGAATGACATCAACCGCCTGTGGCCCATGCAAGCAAGCAACTCATAGATTTCTCATCGGCAAGTGAATCGAATGTGTTTAAAGAGAAAGCCATGCAGGCGGCACGGGTCCCGCACGCCAAGGGTGTGGCCCCAAAAGCAATCCTTTCAGTAGAATCGTCATGAAGGGGTCGTTGATCATCCCTGCCAACACCAAGATCGAGCTGAAAAACCGATTCGCCACCCAACCAGAAAGTCCTTGTGCAAGCAGAGGTTGATTCCAACCCTGCCCCCGACAAAAAGAAAGTGAGTCCCTGTCATCTTCCCTTCATCACGCTCCCCAAAAGTGGTTGATGCTGAAGAGGTGTTTCATTCAACCTAAGGCACACGTGGCGCCTGCATGGGCATTGCATGCACCGACTGGCCATTGACCTGTCGAAGCCGAAAGGTCCAAACAGGCGTTTTAAAAGCTGTGGACATACTTGGCTTATCAGGACCTTTAACAACTACTGATGGGAAAACTCCTGACCACGCTAAACAAATCCTTTTCTAATACAGCTACCATCTGGCGCCTGAAGTGGATGTTCATCGACAAATAAAATGGGGGCTCAGGGACCCCCTGAATGGCATCGAGAAGTAGGGACCGCTTGGTTGAAGGGCTTGTAAATTGGTAAACTTGTGATGACACAAGCATCTTGGGCTTAATCTGCGAAACACCTAGCTTTGCACTGGAATAATCTTGCTTACAGGCTTTCGTGGGAAAAAAAATGGTTTCCCCTTGGGGAACCAAACAAGCAAGTAGGACACCGGTGAAGACTTCTTCCAACAGGGTGGATGGCACATCTTTGTCAACCTCCAACTGAATGTCTTGGAATAGACATGATCCCCGAAAACGAATAGTACCCTAGTTGTTTTTTTCTCGATCACCCTTTGCAAACCCCCAAATTCTCCGGGCTTGACAAGCAGGAGCCTTCACGGAAACTCGTAAGGTCCTTGGATAAAGCAGCGCGAAAGTGCCCTCGCCAATCGCGGAAGAAAAAAAGAGAGAAAAAAACGAATCAAAAACGGCGCGTCATGTCTTCTCCCCAGACGTCCAGTCACAGAAACAAAATGGGACCTTTCGTGGTAGTTGAATTTAAAGGGAACTCCCTCCATAGAAAAAGGTGCTGAGTCTGGGCGCCCATGCTAAGAGGAAACCCCTGATTGGATCACTTTCCTAGTCAAGGGGCACTTTCCCTGATTAGTTTGGTATATGGTCGTCCTCCAAATGAACTAATTGATTCCCGAGTGTTCTACGAGAAAGCCCGTGGGGCAACTGAACAAACTGGCATGTCTTCGTGGATTTCTGAGTAACAAACAGCACCCACGGGTCGGGCGGCCGAGCCCACGGACGTCCCATGGACACTGAAAGCTGCTACGTTGCAGCCCCACTGGAAAAGAGTGTTGCAGTGCACTGACTCTATAGGTTCTTTTTTATTCCAAGCCTTTGCTTTCCAGGGTCTTGCTGGGATGAGTTTGGCAGCCAAAAAAGAACCTCATTCCTACATCCAAAGGGAAGCCCAATGTTGCAGAGCTGCTATTAAGACTTGCGACTCACGATGGAAAAAAATAGGGCCGCCTCTGTTCTGGGAGTAAAGCCCATCTTCCAGGGCGTCCCCTCTCCTTCCCGGAAATCGATGTCACTTCTCCGAAAAGTGATGCATCAAGCCGGAAACTCGGGGGCCGCTGAAATGTCCCTTCTGGCCTGAAGGTTCCGCCTTTTCAGGCTTCCCTATATTTCCACACATCACCTACACCGAAAGCCCACTTTCCAGTGGCCCTATACTTGGTTGACGTTGGAAGGGGAGCAACAATTTCTAAATCTTAGCAGTTGAGTGGTTGGATTTCAACCACTAAACCACAAGAAGCAAACATGTAAAATGTTTCCCAACAACAACCATGTATAGGTGATCTTCTTCAAACCCTCGCAATTCGAGGAGTTTCACCACTGGAACCCTGCAACCGAGCCGAACTAGCCGGCCAAGCCTGGCTATGGTTCGCCGGACCATTGGCTGCCTGCGGTCAAAGCGCCAAAGCCTCTGATTCTGTTCGGAGCCTGATACCAGCAAAACAGTCACCGAGTCATAGTCAAAACCTCAGTCTACCTGTCTGAAACTCTATATCAAACTGACATGCTCGAGCTTTGCGTCATCTGTTCAAAACATGTCAAAGACTCCACCTCGTGTGGCTCTAAGATGCTCTAAGCAGGTCATCTCCAGAAAGGTGTCTTGGATTGGCGTGAAAGGGGAAAGGGGCGGCCGCAAAAAAGGTCAAAAAAGCGAACGATTTCTGTGGAACAGAGCTGAAGAACTGGGGTGCCTAGAGATACCGTGTACATCGGGAAATCCAAGGGCAGCTTTAAGTCATGGAGCTGCGCTGAGATTTGCATACTGTGCCAAGGGCGTCAACGCACCCGTCGCAATGATGCAGCATGCCATCGCTTGGAGCTCAAGATGCTACCGACTCCATTCATGAACAAATTCAGAATATGAACAGAACTGACAGCAGCCCTAGCTCGGCTAACCCATGTGCTTGGAACATGTTGGAAGCAAACGTAGACTGATTCACTGTTGATGACTGGGATCGTCAGTCTCAAAACAGTTTGTCTAAAACACATATTGTTCAAGCAAGATTCAAGTTCACAGCTGTTCACTCTGTTTGGCAATCTCCAACCCTTCCCGTCACGTTGGCAGCTTCTCACTCTGGATGCTGTAAAAGTCAGGTTTGCGCTTTCCGAGGAGAACAGAGTGGTCATTGCATGGCACTGATACTCATGAATTGGATAACTAAAGTTGAATATTATGTATATATATATATACATATATGTGTACCTGTGTAAATATCTGCTTGTTGGGTCATTCTTCCAAAGGCATCTTCCCTCGCGCCCGGTTTACTCACTCCCTAACCAACTGTTCAAACGGCACGTGTCGCACTCCCTCTAGGGTTGAGACTTTCATGTTGTCCTAGGATAGGAATGCCCTCTCAGAGAACTGGCTGAATGTCAACACTTGGTGCAAAACCATGAATATGCATGCAATACGTAAATAAAAATCAAAAGCAACCAATTAAACTAACCAATCAAACAATACATGCAGACAAGGACATCAAATGCTACTATCAAACTACCAAATCTTGTAATCTTACACTAATGCACATAGTACGTAAAATATGTAAGGCATGTCTAATGTGATGTGATGTGATGTACCGTAACGTAATGTAATGTATCTTTGTTTGTATGTATACATGTACGTGTGTTTGTTTGTGTGTTTCTGCGTACGTTCGCATTCACGCAGGCAAGGTAGGTAGGTAGGTAGGTAGGTAGGTAGGTAGGTAGGTAGGCAGGCAGGCAGGCAGGGTAGGCAGGCAGGCAGGCAGGCAGGCAGGCAGGCAGGCAGGCAGGCAGGTAGGTAGGTAGGTAGGTAGGTAGTTCGGGAGGGAGGTAGGTAGATCGGTAGGCATGCATTTATGCATGCATGTCTGGATGTATTTATGTATGTATGTGTGTGTGTATGTGTGCATGTATGTTCGTACGTGTACATGTACGTGCACGTGCACGTGATATGCATGTATATGTATATATTATGTATATATTATGTATATATTATGTATATATTATGTATGTACATGTATGTATATGTATGTATATGTATGTATATGTATGTATATGTATGCATGCCTGATGTCTGTATGCAATTACATGTTGGCAGCGTAGCCCATTGCTGGCCTTTTTTCTTATCACTCTTTGAAGAGGGTCGGCCGCCGGCTATAACCAACCAAAGCATGGGTCCCCACCATGCTAAAATAGTGTAGCCAGGAGACATGCATACGTACGTTCATACATATGTACGTCCGTAGAACCATACATACGTAAATACATACATACATGCTCGTCCAGTCAGTAGACATGTGACGCCGCTGTTGAGTGGTAGTTGGGGTGCCGACAAGCAAGCTTTAACTTGTAAATCCTTAATAATTGAACTTGTAGGTTTGAAGAACATCTTCACCTGGGTTTGTGACCTCGGGCAATTGAAGGTGTCTCTTCGTTTTGGGCTTGCAAATCTCGCATCTAACCCGGAAAGTGCTGTTGACCCTTGATTATGATAAAATATTCCCAGCAAAAAGCCAATCACATTGCCAGATGGGAGCCACTGAGACGAAAAGACCTACAAAACCGAGTGGACACCAAACCGAAATCGGCAATCGAAGAGCTCGTGTCGAAGGTCCGAGCCGCGAGCCCAGGGTACCCAGCCTTCGAGAGGCCTGGGAGTCAACGGACCCACGAGTTCGACCCCGGCTTTTGTGGAAGTGGTGATTTGTTGCAGCTGGGTATGGGTCAAAAAAGTGTACCCAACATGGAACCCTGGTAAGTGGAAACATGGACTAAACCCTGCGGTTTTTTGGTTGCTTAATTTTGACCGATACCCAGATGACGAGGCTGCTTCCCACGAACGTTATTGCTTACAAACAACTCAACTCTTTTTCGTTTTGCAGCAAGAGGAGCAGTTTGGACACAAGGGTGCTCCGAATGCCAAACTTGAAACCATGTGTTTTTTCTACACCTCAAGTGAACTACATATAGGACCGACCAACAGGCCATGATTAACACAACAAACAACAAACACATTTAGAGAAGCCTGTATGGGCTGACGTTCGTTCTTAAAAATCTTACGAAAACGATAGGGGACGGTTGGAATCCCATAGCCGTCAAACTGCAAAACTGATAGGGGAAGGTTTAAAGCATACCTCAAACAGTTTCCTTGGTCATGTGACTGTTGGTGCCATCAAACGTTCCTCAAAACCAACAGGGTACAGCCAGCACAAAATCAAGCAGTTGTCACTCTTGACAGTTTGCCTTTGGAACCAACAGGGAAAAGACACAATGTTCGTCTAAACAACAAACAAGTCCGTTCAGCAATGTTCAGCAGATTCCCGAGTACTGCTCTTCATCCGTTGCGCACACTCCCATCAAACCTACATTCATCTACTGTTTGTTCGGGCTATCATCTCTTGCGAGGAAACGCTTGCCCAGTTACCCGGTTTGGTGTCGATTCCATGTTATAAGGGGGAACACGCCAAAGAAAAGGGATCTTGGGTAGCTTCCCCATGTCCAAATCCTCCTTGCAGAAAACTGTGTGGGAAAACCAGAACGTTGGTTGCAAAAAACGGGATGCACCTCTAGAAATGCGAGCCATTGTTGGCAAAACCAAAAGTTCACGCCAAGTTCACAGCAAAAAGAGGCCCCGTGCTTTGTTCAATCGTTCTAAAGTTCCAACTCCATCCGCCCTGAGAACCGGTCTGAGCATCTGCTCCAGCCTGCGAAGCGATTCCCCGGCTGGATCCGATCCGGCTGAGGAGAACCCGAAAAATGATTGGTCACCGACAATTCGGTTTCCATCCCAAGGACCTGGAAACAAAACATGCTGAATGTTTGTTGACCAGTTGCAAAATGGTTGAATACCAATCCTGGGCCAGTGAGTTGCCCCAATCTTATTAAGACTCGAAGTCCCTAGCAAGTAATGCCTCTGAGACCTCTTATGCACTCGGGCAGAGAGGACAAGGTGCCTAAGGCGCGAACTCTCCCCAAGTCTCCCCTAAAACTTGATTCACCCATGTTGAAACCCCATAGGTGTCTGGGGTGAAAAAAGAGATGCTGCAATCTGCGCCGACCCCTGATAGACATCGCCTGGGAAAAAAAGAGGGGAGCCCGGCTTGGATGGAGTTCAAAATAAATACAGAAAACCGACAAGCCATTTTGGGGGTGTCCAATTCCTGTTGTGGAATCCCACCATAGAATTGGCCCTACATCGCAAACAAAACCAAGGTGATGATCTGCTGACTTTCTTCCAGGTAAGTTGTTCAACATGCGGGATTTGTTTAGTCATAACCGAAATCCGTTGTCAAAGGAGACTCGCAAGCCCTGCCAATGACTTGGCTCTCATTAAGGCCGAAAGACAAAATCAGGCATTGAGAGATTCACGTTTGGTGCATAATCCCACAAAAAGGAAACCAATCACCAAGGGCCCAATGTTACCGGATTTTGTTGCGTAGCACAGACTCACTTGCTGTTTCTTACAGGGGGGCTGAACAAATGCTATGCTTGTTGGTATGGGCATCAGCAGCTGAGTAACAAATGAACATGTGAGCAAATTAGTCAGGCCATCACCGTCTTACAGATTTCCAGCTGGGACATGACCAGAAAGTGTGGCCGTTGTCACACGTCTCGGGAGAGGGCGCGAAAGTAATGTTGCGTCTCAACAGTGGGGGGTGTGAAGCCCATTGAAAACGACTCTCAAAACACAAAGCCAGTGACAGATCTAATATTTTCAAAACAAGCAAGTCGTAGTGTCCCAATTAATCAGCATGGTAGCATCTTTCAATTTCTTCGATTTTGGTGTCCTTTTTTTTGGGGAAGCCCTGTTTGGTTTGTATGGGGCGCCCGGGGCCGGGGTCGCGCATCTGACCCTTTGGCTTGCCTGGGACTACGGACTACCTTTGGATGCCAACAGGAACCAACCAATGCCGGGGGCGCAAACTGCTATTGTGACGAAAACACTGATATGGACCGTCAATGTTCAAAACAATAATACTTCTCAGCTATCCTGTAATTCGCTACCTTGACTTTGCTCATTTGTCCCTTGTGTAACAAAATGGACATCCACTTCTCCATCTGTAAGGCATCCAGTGTAGCAAGTCGATGCAAATGTGTGGGTGTGTGTGTGTGGGTGGGTGTGTGTGTGTGTGCGTGCGTGCGTGGGTGGGTGGGTGGGTGCGTGCGTGCGTGTGTGCGTGCGCGCGCGTGTGTGTGCGTGCGTGTGTGCGTATGTGCGCGGTGTGCGCGTGCGCGTGCGCGTGCGCGTGCGCGCGCGTGCGCTGCGCGCGTGTGCGTGTGCGTGCGTGTGTGCGTGTGCGTGTGGTGTGTGTGTGTGTGTGGGTGCGTGCGTGCGTGCGTGCGTGTGGGTGGGTGGGTGGGTGGGTGTGTGTGTGTGTGTGTGTGGGTGTGGGTGTGTGTGTGGGTGTGTGGGTGTATGGGTGTGTGGGTGTGTGGGTGTGTGTCTGTGTGTGTGGGTGGGTGTGTGTCTGTGTGTGTGTGTCTGTGTGTGTGTCTGTGTGTGTGTGTGTGTGTCTGTGTGTGTGTCTGTGTGTGTCTGTGTGTCTGTGTGTCTGTGTGTCTGTGTGTCTGTGTGTCTGTGTGTCTGTGTGTCTGTGTGTCTGTGTCTCTGTGCGCCTGTGTGCCTGTGTGTCTGTGTGCCTGTGTGTCTGTGTGTCTGTGTGTCTGTGTGTCTGTGTCTGTGTGTGTTTGTCTTAGGGCATAACAGGGGGTGCCCACACAGGTGATTCATCCCTGCAAGGGGGCACACTCCAATGGATCAAAATCAACTTAGAGTTTATTCCGGGGTCGGTCAATGTTACCCTTGAGATTGTTTAGCGAAAGCAGCGGAAGCCTCTGAGTATCCCCAGCCCGGTAACCACCGTTCTTTTCCAAAATCAGCTGTTGCTTTCCCAGTTTGTCTGGAAAGACTCGGAACCCAGGGTTCAGAATGGGGAAGTCAATCAGCAAATGTCTCTCCATATCAGGAACCCGCTCTCATTTGGAGTTGAAGGGAATGCAAAAGGAACCGAACCAAAAGAACACCCCCAACAAGCCTCCATTTGCCAATACCTCCCCTGGAAAACAAATATCTTAGTGATAGATCCCCTTCAAACCCTGGGCAAAACAAAACGAATTCGTAAGCAACTGGCAGGACTAGATACCCCCGGCTGCAAAAGAGCGCGCGCCTGTCCAGGCGCTTGTTGCTGCTCGCGAAGCGCTTCGCCGCCACCCGGGCCAGGTGCTGGATCCTCAGTGGCAGAAATCGGATCGCCAAGAAAGACCCCCGATCGAAGCAGGGCCCGTCCTATTCATACTGTGGACGAAATCCTTTCGAACCACTAAGAAACCATGACAAAGCATTGATTGTTGGTATTTACTCGGGAATCATCATTCCAGGGTTTCTTAGGTGGTGCAGGATTTCGTCCATCCACAGTAGGGGGCGCCCCTGAAGTGGTCGGAAAAAAACACCACTCAAAAAAGCCCCGGTCAGAACCACCCAGGGAATTGTTCATCCGGGAATGATCACAGGTTTGCAAGCCAGCCAATGTTGACTTAATCACCCCCCTTGAGGCCAGAAGTTTTTTTCCGCCAAACATCAGATTCCGGAACTGAAGTAATCGGGAGATGCTTTAGCTTTGGGCAATACTAGTGTAGCATTGGGCAATGCTACTTAGACTTCGGCAATACTACGGGCAATACCACTTATGAATTTGGAACGGGAATTCCAGAGATTCCATGACAATTGATGAGATGTCCATTGAGATTAAGTGATTTTCCATCAGGTGGCATGATCAAAAGACAAAACTTGGTTGACACCAATAGATCCCAAGATCAAATTGATTGGGCTGTTGGGCAAGCAATCTCTGAATTCTAACTTGCTCAAAGTACCTGGACCAAAACAACAACACCTAGGCCATAAGCTTTGGACGCTGTACTTGAGGTAGACCGAATTCGCGCAACGGTCGCTTACGTTCGGGCAAGCGAGTACTACTAGCAGTTCCAGCCGGAGCTCTTCCAGCATTTGAAGTAGAAAATTGCCGGCTGGTCGGCCCGTGTCCGTCCTAGCCAATGATCATTCCACCATACCCGTCCCACGCTCAGCCCGCTGCGATGGTTTTTTCACAGTGCCACAATTCAGGATCTTTTTCATCTTGGAAATAAGCGGGAATTCCCTGGGATCTGTCAAGCTTGCCAGCTCTGGCAAGACTGCCAAGCTTTAAACCACCACGTTCCGTGTTTTTTTCTTTAAGCAAACAATCAAACTTGGAGAAAAAATGGCTTTGTTTCAAACTGGGCAGACCCGCGCACAACGGCTGGTTTGTCTTTGGCGTCCTTCAAGGCAACCTCAAACACGACATGCCCATAGAGGATCTCTAGCGCCCAATCCTTGTCCCTTCGAATCCTCCCGCAACTCGGGAGCGCACTTGCGGGCATTCAGCATGGACTGCTCTAGCGCGCCCTCTGCTTGCTGGCCCTCTTCCTCTCAAGACACAAACTCCCCGCTTGCCTCTTTGCCAAAAGCCTCGAAACAAAGATGGGCACAACAGTTGTGACAAAACGGCTCCGTGTCTGGTTGGCTCTTTGCTTCCCTTTACACATCCAGAGTCCACAATTGGAAACACCACAAAGATCCACCGCCATCCCCCCAACCTTTTTATGGAATCCAGGGAGAGGCATCAACCAGAGGTGAGTAGTTCATCATCAAAAGGTCGATTCGCTTTGGGCAAGTTTGCCAGCTCGGTATATCCTTCGTCCCAAAGAGGCTGTTTTGAAAAGAGAGAACCGACCAAAAGAAATGGGAAGGACCCGTTGCCACCACACATCCAATTGTACCCATGCCCTTGCTATAGATCATCTATCGCCATCGCGTCGAAGGACCACTTTTTTTGTTATCAAGATGTTGAGATAATCTGACTTGCTAAGCTGACTGCTTGGCAAAGGCAAACACTTGTTGGACCTTGCCAACAACATGACGAAACGACCTTGCCAACAAACAACTCAAGGATTGCAATGGCACCAGGCAAGTATTCGACCCTGATGCTCACTTGCTGCATAAGGTTGCTACCAACGCCTCCAGAACAGAAGCAGCAAAACAGTTGCCAGAACAGCAACACGGACAGCAACAGCCAACAACAACGGGAAACCACAGCAGCAACATATATCCGGAGATGCGGTGGAGGCAACCTTCACCAGACATTATTGGCTGGTCATTGCATGTTGCAACCTGTAGTTGCTATAGGTTCTTGATATCTGTCGCCTTGATTTGTTTGGTAATGTGTGTGTGTTGCATTGCATGCCGACTGATGATCTCAGTGCTGTATTGTTGTGCCTTATTTGTTTCTTTGGTGGTTTTGTTATTGTTTGCTTCTGCTCAACTCCATGGCTAGCCTGCTTGTTGCTGTTGTGGACATTTGTAGTGGGCGGTGCGATCAGCCAAGTATCTAGGGTTGGACTTGGATGTGCTGCAACATTTGTCTGTCTTGCCATCGGGAAAATGTGCTCTTTTCCAAGCGGCAAACAGAACAAGCCACTGAGTAATGGATATGCAGCAGGATTAATAAAGCACTTTGATTAATCGGCATGGACTCCCCATTTAAGAGGAAATTCTTCACTTTTGTGGACCCCCCCCCAATTATACTATTCATCCAACAGGTGAATCACAATGAAAGCCTGGTAGAAAAGGAGTCTAGCAAAAACCATGAAAATAATCATAAGGGGGCCCGCACCTATTTATCGTACGGACTCCCCGACTAATCTTCATCTACCCAGGATTTGATTGTGCCTTATTCTTGCTAGCAACAATTCCCGCATCTTTCCTCCATGTCGGAGTCGGGGTAGTCTATGTAGTCGAGGTTCTTGATGACCTGCAAGCCAAATGATCCCCCAAATGGTGGTTTCCAATTAGCTCCTCGCTGAACCGACCTCAAAAAGGATACCTCACTGTGAGCTAAGTCTTTAAGTTTAGTGAGCAAAGATAAACCGTCGAAAGCTTCGTGAGTCATGATCAGTAAAGACAGCATCCGAAGTGTCTCTAGTGGCAAATGTGAACATTTCTTGGGCCCTTGGATTTACTGGCCCTGCTCCCCAAAATGAGCTTCATATCAACAGTATTCAACGTTGCTCACTTCTCCAAAGGACGTGGAATTCGAAGGTTACCCCTTTGGGACCTCAAACGATGGACCACCACGGGCAAGTTTGTGAGTTGCTCACTGTCACATCGCAGCGGAGGAAATTTCTGTTTGGGACGTCGCCTGCATGCCCTGGCACAAACGGGGCAACCCATATCCTGCTTGCAAGTAGCATGAGAAGACATCATCGCCCAAATTACCCTATATTGATGGTTGGAAGGACCCCCCAAAAAAAACAAGAAAAAAAACTCTTGCAAATGCAACCACTTTACTTTAGGGGACACAGAGTTAGGGCGGGGTCTTTGTGGGTCCCCGAATGTGTAGCTTCCGCGTACCTTCTGCAGAGCTCCAGTGGAGTAGACCAGCTGCGGCAGGAGCAGGAGCAGGGAAAACGCCACCCTGGGAAGGGGTAGACTCCCAGTGATTGCTGGAAAAATGGAGGGACTGCATACGGACGGATTGTTGGCGGGGAAGAAGGACCCTTTACTGTGCTGAATGGAAAGAGGACACACCTTTCGTGTTGCAGGGATATTCCTGGACCGAATCGATTGGCAGGGTGGAAATTTGGCCCTTGGTACCATACGAAGTGTCCAGCCTTCACATGTGTTCTGACAAGAACGATGGGTTCACCAAACGAAGCCACCCGAAGATCGGGGTTTGGCAAACCCCTGCGACTCCACTGAGCGCGCCCTTTTTAGAGTAGCCTGCCACCGGCTCGCAGGAATCAATCCCAAACCACGACTTGCAGGCCTTGTGGGCCCCGAGCAGTGGGAAGAGATCACCGTCCCATACTCTCCACATAACCCCGCGGTGAGATCTTCGGAGATGTCGCTATGGGTTCCTTTTGTGAAGCTTATTCCGGAAAGCCTGAGAAATACTGGAAATCAGGGATGCCCTGCATTGTGGGTGGCACAAATTCTCCAAATAGTTTGTCCAAAGAAGGGAACCCACTCCCTGTTGGATGGGGCTGAGAGGGGCTTGGAACTTGCTGAAGAGTCTTGTTTGCACGGGATGGGCAACCCACCCCCCAACAGAAGGCTTCGCACATTGGCCCTTTGACGTACAAAGCCACATTGTGTCCCATCAAAGTCACCCCTGAGTAGTAAGTGCAAGGAAAATAATCCTAGCTTCCAACATTGATCATGTTTACCTAGTATGCATAAGCCCCGATTCACAGGGGATGTCCCAGTTTAGAGAAAATGAGTATCGCTGATCGATTTTGCGGAGTTGCACGGTGCACCTCCTTTTTAATCCACCAGGTTGAACCTGAACCAGGTCACCATTCATGCCGAGAAAAAGGCATCCCTTAGTGGAACCTTACCTGCCCCAATCACATGGACATGAGCGAAAGTGTTTCTCCAAATAGGGAGCCACCTAGGATGCCGCATCTTGAGACTCCTAAAAGCCTAAAAAGATCGAAATTGTCATCAGTTCTTTTTGTTGAACCGGTATCTACTAAAGTCCAGCCGGAGGCACAGGAAGAGGACCATGTCCCTCTGGTGCTCCTTGCACAGCTCAATCGCCTCAACTGTACAGTGCCGGGACGATGTCACATTGCTCAACAGCTGAATGCGCAAAGAATCGTGGAACCCTTTTTGCAAACACTTGGGATGTTAGGTGACTCAATCATTGGATATGTCTGAATTCTGAACAACCAGCCACCAAAGCCCCAAGGCAAATAAACTTCCAGGAATTCGTATTAAATGTGTGTCGAAACAGGCACCCCCCAAAAGGCTCCGGTGCTCCTTTGAGTTCCTAACCCCACAAATGGTACCAACCCAAGAACCACAAATGGTACCAACCCAAGAACGACACGCGTGCCATGCTGAGACTCGCGCCTTGGACCAGCCCAAAGACTTGAAGGCCGGACCACTGCAGTGCCTCAATAGGGGAAGCTGAGGGTTTTATAGAGGGCTTGAAAAATGGGGGATCCAGGAGGGTTCAACTGCGTTGTGTCACAGCTTCCGAAGACTAGCGATCCTCTAAACTCCTCACACTGAAAACGGGGTCCATGCTGGGGCAAATTCCCCTAACATTCGCTGTAGTGGAATGAAACCTATCGGAAACACCCTGTCAATCCACAACAATGATAGACCGAGGGCAAAAGCGCGAAGAGGCAAAACGCGGGCCGCAGGCAGCCCAAAAGCGGCAAGTCCACTGATCCACGAAGAGGCGGCAGACTGCGATGCGCAGATTCGAAGGACCTCGCCTGCACGAGGGTTTCACAGGGCAGCAGGCCCAATGATCAGGAGGAAGAGCAATGCTCCAACCACCCAAGAGAATGACGTATAACCTCAAGCTGGTCATCAAGAGAACACAAGTCATGAGATGCGTGCGCAACGAGGGCAAGTACGAATAATATTAAATACCCAGGTCCGGCCGGAGGAAGGCGATACGCAACCCATCTGAGTGACCCGGTTGCACCTTTTCCGCCCCCAAACTGCATTCAGCGCAGAAATTCGTGTGAGAAGCTCGTGCGGGAATCAGGTCATGAAGTCACCAAACAATGCCAGAAGGCCAGGGTCACTGGACGACCTGACGCTATGCTATCAGTCGGAACGGGCATCAACCAAGATGCTGTGTGCCCCCAGCCCATGACTGTGCAGGAGACTGCACATGAAGGCTGCAAACTCCTGGCAGGCTCGGCCAATGCGCACACGGACCGGTCGCAACGACCACCCCGGGCGGTCATGGCAACGTCAAGGGAGCCACCCGGAACAGGCGAGCTGAACACAAGCAAACTCGCAGCTCTGCTGTGCCGCACCGGCGTGTTGGACGTCAGACGCTTTCCGGGAGGAAGTCGCCTGACCAGGGGCCTGGCCAGGCCAAAGGCAGGTAGATGTGAACCGAAATGCTTGCCAGGGAACCTTCAGTCCAAATGTCCCCAAGGTGTGGGCAAAAACTTCCCTTCCTTGCAACTTGCTGTCTATCCTTATGGTCAAACGTCCCTGTGGCTTCCATCCCTACCCCTTTCGATGCTTAGCCGCTGGCCCGTCAAGCGCGGGATCCGCCTGGCACCACACCACTTGGAATCGACGGCTTACCATTTCAACCCAAAACCAATTGGGCGTTTTCTTTGAAGCCATAGCAAACGGGCTGGGAATTAAACAGTGTATCCCAATCCCAAAAGCAGTTGTTTTTGCATTGTTTCTCACCTTAGGCAAACGGGAGGTGTGTGTTCAAAGCAATCAATCTAAAACAACAGCAAATGGCAAGCGCACATGGGCGTGAATCAAGGCGCCTGACACTCACTCAATCATCAGCCTTTCGCGGGCCTCATGTTGCTGTCCAAAAGAGCAATGCATCCAGAAGGCAGTGTTTGGAGTGTCTGCTTCTGATTTGTGTCATGCGTGTTCAGACTTCCTACGTTTCGACCTTTCGCATTGCCGGAAAAAAAAAAAAAAAAAACCTTTTCGTGGCAGACTCTTAACAAGTATTGCTTTCATAAGTTTGGCGGTGCATTTCAGAACTGCCGATCAGGAAGTAGGTGGTTCTAAGGGTGAGGCCCCCAAACTTGCAAGATTAGCACAACATGGTCCACCCAGTCATGCGATTTGGTAAGAAAACAGCACGTTGCTCACCGCAGAAGCGTTGGAAGGGGAATCCGAACACATGCAGCGCTATTCAATCACAAATCATGGGCGATAGGCGGCATATGTTCGTTTCAGCCTGTCTTCCAAGCTTCAACAACAATTGGCAAGCGGATTGGTATGTATCCATTGGTCCGCCCCGCTGTTGTGGTCCTCGAGTTGTGACCCTTCACCAATAAGCCTGTGCTCATGTGGTCCTTTTGTAGGGTAAACACCAAAAGATGCGTCTTCCGGTTCTTTGGATATATATATATATATATATATTAAGATATAATGAAGAAATATATTCATGTATTTTTAAGGGTAGACCTACCCGAGGAAGTCACTGCATTTCTGAATGTCAAGAAGAAGTTCAATTACAAGTTCCATCTTAGAAGGCCGGGGAATGGTTACTGGTTGTTGAAACACAAGAGAAGCTTCAAACAATCTGACCATTTAATCCCTTCACCAGCAAGGGATATCATGTGCCACCCTGAAAGAGGCATACGTTGGCATCTAGCATGTGAGCCAGGGAGAGCAACCTTCTGTTGCTGCCAGGAACAGTAAAACTGCCACAAACGCCACTTGCACGGAAACAAATGAAAGAAACACCTGTAACACTGACTGCATAACACCAGGTCGAAAGGTCGGCTTTGGGATCAGAATCCGAGAAAAACCCATGCGAAAGCAGAACCATGGCAAAGTACTCCTGCCACCGCCAAAGTACCAAGCCTCCAAGCTTCGCGTCAGTCGTGAGCAGTTTGCAAAGCAACAACCGTAGGGATTCAATGTGCACTTAGGATGAATCCTAAAAAAAAGGCACTAATCAAGAAGATCCTCCCAAGTCCGGTTTTAGCGTTCCACGGGGATGGCCACCCTTGTCTAATCAGGTAATCTATAGGAGGCATCCTCCAATCCCAAAAGATAACCTCTTCAAGCATACTCTTCTGAAGTGCCAAGCGGTTTTGGCGAACGAGCGATATGGTGTTGCCCCGGATGTTGGGTTCGATTGCCCTATTCTTGCTGGTAAGAAACAACCCACCCCCCAGAGTAAAACAAACAAACCTCGCTGGCACTCAGTAGGAAATGAGCGAATGACCCTTGTAAACGTTTCCTTTGAGGGGATCCTTGGGTTCACTCCATTTCTCATTCCCTGCCTATCGCACCGATCGCCAGAAACGGAGGCCCGACTCGCGACTCCGAATCGCCCCGAACCCCCGCCATTTTGGCGATCTCCCTCTCGATGTTCCAGGGAAATTTGGACATGCCTGGGAGTGCCGGTGACTCTGGATGTGCGTCTCTGCGTCTGTGTCTCTGTGTGTGTCTCTGTGTCTGTTTGTGTGTGTGTGCGCGTGTGCGTGTGCGTGTTTGTTTGTTTGTTTGTTTGCTTGTTTGCTTGCTTGCTTGCTTGCTTGCTTGCTTGCTTGCTTGCTTGATTGTTTCTTTGTTTGTTTGTTTGTTTGTTTGTTTGTTTGTTTGGTTGGTTGTTTGTTTGTTTGTTTGTTTGTTTGTTTGTTTGTTTGCTTGTTTGTTTGTTTGTGTGTGTGTGTGTTTGTTTGTTTGTTTGTTTGTTTGTTTGTTTGTTTGTGCGTTTTTGTTGTTTGTTTTTGGGAGGGTATCCGTTTCACCTTGATTTTCAAGGGAAACCAACATGGACACTGGCATTTGCTGTGTATGAGGAACAAAGCCTTGGAGCAGAATCTCTCGCCTGCCAAAAATTTTTCTATTCGCTCAAATCGATCATCGAGCAGGACATTATGCCGTGGGAACATGCCAAGACCAGGGTTGTTACAGCCCCGTGGCTCGGCGTTGCAGTTCATGCAGGAGGATTTGATCAGAGGCCTTCGCTGCCACATGAACAGCGGGTTCGCGAAATCCTTGATGCGTATTTTATTAAGCAGCATGGGAGTCTTCGAACAAGCTACATCCTGTCCCAGCCCCGACGAAGCGTTACAGCAGAGCCTGAGGACCTCACTCTCAAGCCCAACCAGATTCGCACAAACTGGAGGCGACACATCGACGCTCTCAAGAAGAAAGACGCCAAATGATGTTTCCCTGCCTCGGCCAACGGGGGACGTTCAGCACTGCCAGATGTCAAAATCCGTCCGTTGGCTTTTTGCCCGCAATGGCAACGGCTTCACCCGCACTTCTTCAGCAGTGAGAATTGGTCTGTGCGGGCCAATTCCTCCTTGTGAGGTTAGTTCCTGCCTGAACCATGGTACGTTTTCCTCAACATTTCCTTGTTATGACAAGTGCGGGCCAAGTCCTCTTCGTGAGGTTAGTTCCCGCCACAGTCCCAGACTTGGAAAACCAATTCATATGCGAATACAGTCCAATCTTGCCTTGACCGATGAGCTAGGAGATTGCCAGATCACATCCATCTCGAAAAGCAGACTTTGTGCTAACCAGTTCCTCTCGTTGAGGTCAGGCTAGCCTATTTCTTGTTTGCACCCACTCGGTTTTGAACTCTTGTGAGTCAGATGAGATTACGCCGGGAGTCACCTATGACAGCCTTTCAGAGCCACCGTGTGGGCTAGACCCCCAAAGCGGGGCGAGTTCCCGCCTGATGGAAACCGATGTTTTTCGCAAATTGATGCCCACCTCGATATTTGCGCTTCTCGTTTCACGTCTCACGTTTCCGGCTGTTTGGCCGCCCGATGATTGCTTTTGAACCCTACCATTTCCCCTTCCCACAGTGGAAGGGTCGCCCGCGATAGAGGAGTTCGCCTAGGCCGGCTCCTCTGTCGCCGAACCAAACATGGTCCGAACAGAAGCGAGGTTAAGTATTCCAGCTGCTAGTGCTCAAGGGCCTTCCCGGGGCGCGGCTGATAGCATGGCATGGCATGTGGTTGACCTTGAGCTTTCGATGTTTACTCATGATAGGTCATGTATTTCAGCACCATGTGACAACCTCACTCACCACGGACCATGCAAACACGCCCGGTTGACTGGCGTTGCGCCGATGCATGATGAGTTTTGCTCCGGCCTTACCGATGTGCAACTCGGAAGGAACCCACGCAAAGGGGAAGATGGTAAGAGAACCAGGTTCGACCCCTCTGTCTGTATTGGAGGTTGACGCTCCAGGTTTGCTCAGATGAATTGGGCTTTTCCAATGTGCACCAACTCCAGTATATTCGGGTTCTCAGCCGACACAGGGACCATGAATCAGTGATCTTTGAGGTCACATGTGAAGCCGCCCCGGAATTGACTATGATTGTCATCGACCAAGCAAATCATTTGCAGATTTTCCATGCGGAAAGAGCTCTTGAAGAACACCTTTGTTTGACCTTGACGGGGAACCACCTTTGCAAGATCCAGGCTGATTGCAGCCATAAGCAGACACCCTTTTGCCTCTGGTTGACGACTGAATCCCACGTTTTTACCTGCCCCACGATGCCAATTCAGGAGCTGATCATGTGTGTTCCTTTTTGTGGAGGAATCTCAGGCTGGCAGCACGCAGTCAGATTGCTTCAGGCATGTGGCTATCCGATTCGAACAGCTATTGCTTGTGATACCTCTTCAGAAGCAGTAAGATCATTTTGCTTGACACATGGATTTGGACTTGGATCAGGATCTTTTTCCACGGAGGTCCCATCTGGACCGATGGCCTATGTTGCGGATGCCTCGCAAGGTCAGTTTTGGATGCACGCAGCGGCTCAGAAATGTAACATCGCGACAGCATCGTGGCCATGCCGGCGGGAGGACGACAGGGATGGTCAGCCCCGGGTGGGGTATCCTTCAAGGACATGCTTGCTTTTTGCAGTGTTTGTGGCATTCAATTTGTTCTTCTCAAGAATGTCCCGGAGGTCTGGTCAGATTTGGGCTTGAGGACTGCCAGTGTACACTCAGAAGGGTATCACTTCATCTTTGCGGAAGTGCTGAAGCTCGAACATGTTGTGCCTGCGCAGCGATCGAGATTCATTGGGGTCATCACGAAGCTCGCACATGTTCCGTGGACGCCTCAGCATGCAGGGAAGGTGAAGCAAGCTTTTCAGGGCCCTTTGAGATCATTGCAACTTGAGAACATGTAAGTCCCAACCGCCCTGATGACCCAAAGCTTTTTGACGCCACAAGAGATTGAGATTTACTCATGTGTCAGAAGATCGCCAAAGAAAGTTGCAACTGCAAAGGATGCACTGCTCAGACGGGTCATTTCACCGGATGCGAGGATCCCGGCCACGTCCTTAATGAGGAGTTACACCAGACAGCATCTCTTTCATGGGGTTGCGCACGGCACGGACAAGCTTTTGGGGGACCTCCGCACTCAGCAGGACAAGCTTCGGTTTTTCACACCTATCGAGATCATCGCCGCGCTTGGCATTACCAACCCAGTCGACCTCCCACTTGACATTGTTTCCGGCAGTCAGCAGGTTGGAAATTCAATCGCAGAGGCCCATGCCCTTGCCGGGATTTGGGTCGCTTTGGTGTGTTGCGGTTTTGAATTTGAGGGAATCACCCAAAGCTTTGAGCAAATCCTCCGGAGGTTTCGTGCCAGCCGTTTGGACACACAGGCCGACATTCTCATTCAAGATGACAGATGCCTTTTTGGCTCTCAAAGCCAGGGTTTCCGTTTTAGGACAATACACCGGCATGAGGTTGTCCTTGTTGTCAGACAAGAGGCCACGTCCATTCAGACAATTCAATGTGTCGTTGATACAACCTTTGAAGATGCGCTGCAACAACTTGGGATCAACTGGAGCACATGTACTGCGTTTTTCGGGAGCCGCCATGTTTCAGCAGATGATATCATTCGCCAAGGAGGAATCGTCAATTTCATGTGTGCCCCAACCCCTGTGATCACTCCGACGATCCAATGGGAGGTTGGATCTTCCTCGACCACCGCCACTAGCAACGCCCCGGGTCCGGGAGATGCTCTAACCGAGGTTGAGCCTAGACATGCATTGCGCGATATAGATGATGCAGGGAGCCCCACCAGCTCAACCTGGCTGTGCGCGGAATGGACCTGCATGTCAATTTTCTCTTCCTCGCAAATGTTGCATGAAAATCCCCCATCTGCCAGACTGCAGGTGCGACCTGAGCTTACCGGCTGTGAGCTCAACCGTGCTTGGAATATCTTGAGGGGATCATGCTTTGACTTGCATGCGCATACACGGGTTGGAGATCTTGCAAAATGCAATGGCCTCGTCATTCTTTGCGAATCTCTTGATGAGGCAAATCTGACTGCGACAGGTTTTTTCTTGAAGATTCCAGGCGGCGATACGAGGTTTTGCAAACCTCCTGGGTATGAGAGCTTGGGTTTTGCCATTCAATCGTCATGGCCTGAATTCAATCCTGCCTTGCACAAAATCCACAGTGGTGTCAGGCTGCTTGACCCCCAGGAATCGATACGGGACCTCCATATCAGAGCACATGCAGAAATCCAGATTACTTGCCGAGCTCCTGGAGGAGCCAAGCCTGCGTTGAACTCAGAGGGAGACGGTCTCGCTGCCAGGATCCAAAACATCCTTAAGGCACCAACGCGATCCGCAGGTGAAGTCAGCGAGGTTGTGAATTCTTTTTGTGGCAAGCTGTCAGATACCCAGCGTGCTGGCCTTACAAAGACGCCTACAGGAGATGAGCTTCGGAAGATGCTACGTATCACTGCAAAGGATGTTGGTTTTCCGATTTCACAACTTTTTCCGAAGAGGTGTGGCCATCTCAGAAGTTACCAACCGCCTGTTCGCCTTTGCATTCATGATGTTACATTTCTGACAGGAACCTTTTTCTTTGAGGATAAGTCCGAGGCGAAGGTTCAGGGCTCTTTCGACATCTCGCAGAGAGGATTGTACACAGAGCCACCGACCGAGATCGATGAGATTCTTGCTTCAGGAAAAGCCCTTGCATCCTATGAGCTTGGGTACATCCAACTTGAACCCCCTCCTGCAGGTTCAAAATTTCCGGCCACAAAGATACGATGCCCTGCAAAGGATGCAGCTGGACACACCCTCATCCTTCAGTGTTGGATATTGCAGCTTGGCGGGCAGCGAGTCCAAATGCAGGCAGCTCAGAATCACGACATCCCATGCCAGCCCAGCGGAGTTATTTGCATCACCACTTTTCGGACTGACTGGGAGACAGCTACCATTCCATGGGAATCGCTTGTCAGTGCGCCTGCAAAGACAATCATCGAGTTGCTTGGCACCCCTAGCCATGACATTTATGAGGTTTGGGGACGAATCTGGAATGGTCCAAATCGCGGAGGGCGAACAGCCCCAGCTGTCGCGGACTCTTTTCGTTTGCATCTCCGGGTCGCAGACAGCAAGCTACGCTCAATTCTTGAGAAGAGCGGAACCACGAACCCCGCAGTTTTTATCGATGCTTTCAAAGACCAGGAAACCAATGCCATGCCCAAGTCCATCCCGGCTTTTCGAATCATTTGGCTCCCAAAAGAAGTCAGAGTTGCCAAAGCTGTCACCATTCACAATCAACACCTTGGTTTGGTTCGTGGACGTCACAACCTTGGCATCCGAATTGTGGAGACGAGTTTTGATGAGGTTTGGGCAGCAGTCAATCCGAGCAAACCGTGCCCGGCCAGGATACAGATCGAATACAAATGGAGATTGCTTGGAGTACCACCGCAAGCAGGCACGGATGAGATCAATCAGTTTCTTCAGCTGCTCAAGATTGATGGAAAAGTTCTACGCAAGGCTGGCCAAGCCTGGATTCTGGGTACCTCACGTGAACTCACTGAATTCACCTGGTCTTTTAATGGCAATACAGTCGTTGCAGAGCAGATACATGACTATAAAAAGCAGTTCGATCCAGTTATTGCGTGCCAGCAGAAGCCAACACTCCGACCCAGAGCAGATGCGGCGGATAACCCTTTGCCGGCCAAGAAAATCGACATCCTGCAGGTCGCAGATCCTTGGGCCAGGGCATCGCGGGCAGCACCCTCAGGTTTTGAGCTTTCTGGGCTTAGCAAGTCGAATGAGGTGCAATTGCAACAGCAACAGAAGCAGATTACAGAACTGCAATCCAGTATGTCGAAGATTTCAGGTAACGACTACGTGCTTTTCAGATATCTCTGAAGCCTCCTGGCTAGCCGACTCGGCGGGGGACTGCCCCCTTCTTCTTGAGATGAAGGCAGATCCCAATGACGCTGCTGACGCCTTCGTGCAACGATCTTTGCGGGGGCTCATGGACATTAAAGCATTTAGGGCCACCGCCCTTGGCCGTGCTGCCTCTGGGTACGTCCAGCAACGTTTGGCGCAGCTCCCAGTTGCCCAGACACTGGACTTCCTATGGTTCCAGGCCCTTGCCAGCGTGTCTGCCCTCCGCAACGCCAATGATCCCCCGGCTGTGTGGCGCCGTTTTGCGTTCAAGGATAGTGTGACGGCTTGGGTGAACATTACAATGCCATCCACCCTGGCATCAACATGTTTTCTGTCCATTTTGCTAACAGACTACTCCGATTGAAGCGCGGCCGACAACGACTACGTGGGCGTCACCGGCACCTTCCTCGGCACGCCCTCGCAGGCCGGTTATTTTGACGCATACCTGCAATGGCTCTAAGTTCTAACATGTAGTACGGGCTCTAAGATGCTACACACACGATTATCCTTTGGCGCAAGCGATGGGAAATCAGTAGAATGTCCGGGTCCCCCGAATGCTGTGGACATACGAAATTAACTTTGCAAAAGTTGGGATGGATGAAACCCGACTTGAATACGGGTTTAAAATGCATCGACCAGCTGGTGCATGACTTAGTCCCTCAACAACGCCCTGGGCCCTGGGAACCTTGCTTTTGCACATAAGCCAAAAGGTCCAAAATGGGTGGGGTGGAACCATCGGGTTCTCCTCGCCTCAATTTCCCAAAAGAGCCGAGGGCCCTCTTAGAATCTAAACGTGCAAATAATGTTTATTCGAGCTAATGGTCCAAGGGAGGCTCCACGTGCGATAAATACTTTGCATGGATAAAACCACAAACTTGGTACGGGATTTTGCAATGGCAGAGGTTGCCGGTTTGTCCCCCAAGTGATTTGTTGAGGAAACAGAGCGCGTCGGTTTAGCCCCCCTGTCTAACTATTCTTGTGGCCTGGAGGTCGGTTTCAACAAATCCCGAGACCTTTTAGGGCGCTGGGAATGAGGAACGGCTGCCCAAAGAGGCTTGAAAACGGTAACCCTCGTTAGCCAATCAGGCGGGCAAGTCTGTGACAAAGCACATATCCCCACCCATCCCCACCCCAACTAGAAATAGCCCAGGCTCCCGCCTCACTTCGGTTCTCAACAACCAAAAATGCATGGGACAAAAGGTTCTTTGAGGGTATGCTTCCCTACGTTGCTTGGTGGGAATAATTTGGTCTGGGTGTAGCTCGTGCGATGCGTGCTTGAGTTCAACGACCTAGGCACTGGGGATTCCGGATGAGTTTGCTTGGACAACCGGCACTGGCAAGGATTGTCGTGATATGGCCCTGCCCGACTCCGAGAACCCGGCTGGCAAAGCCTTGAATGAGATCGAGGATGATGGTCTCAGATCGATCAATCCATACTCGTCTCCAAAAAAAGAAGAGGAACCTCCGAACAGGATGGTTTCTTTCTGGTCTCCTCACAGAAAGACACGCCCATATGGGCCTGTCTCTCTGTTGGGAGGCACCTTTCTTTTTAACAGGGAAACTAAACTGCCATGCCTGGAAATCCCCTCTTTTGAATCAGGACCACATCAAATTTGCAAGCACACACACAACTACACTCTGGAGATTAGCGTGAAGAACGGGATCATCGAATGGGACCCCCTCAAAAGGGGCCGAGGGGTCACCCACTTCAATCCTGGCGCTGTTCCAGTAGCTGACTGGCTGCACTGTTTTTTTTCTTCTTTTTCTGAGGGACTCTTAAACAGGAGCGCCACAAGTTGCCCGGTTTTATATCTTCCAAAGTGGTCTGGAGCCCCGCAAAAGGGGACACCGCACGGATCAAAAAATCCGGGCTGCCCGCTCTTGGCTCTGAAACTCTGAGGCTGGGGGCCCCCCAGACTCTGTCCTGCCAGTTCTCGAACTCGCCCCGGTACCATGACCACATGGCACACACCTTAGAGAGCTGAGATGTCCCGAGAGCCAGACAAAACAGGTCCAAGTTTGGAAGCTTTTTTTGTTTTTTCTCCTTTGAGGAACAGCACACCCTATTCCACTAGGTCGATTCTAGGGTGAACACTAATTACTTGTTTTCTACTGGCGGAAATCCCACTCTCACTCCGCGCCACAATCCTCCCATCCCAACACCACCAAACAAAAACCCGCCCTCTCAAAGCCCGTCCTCTCAAAGCCCATCCAAAACGCGCCCAACAAAAACCCGCACCACGAGTCTCTCGGGCGTCCACGTCCCGGTACGCGGGAAGGATACCAGTGTCCGTCGCCTGGAAGGCCATCAAGGTAATCCTGGTGTCGCAGGTTCGAAGGCGCCCGGGGCCCGGGTCCCGGTAACCAGGTCAATTTGTCTGAACAAAAAAAAAACAACAATAGGTCAATTTCCTAGGGCCGCAATTTGGGCAACGGTGATTCACGACCTCTGCTTTCCCGCTGTCGAAATTTCCGCTTTAACTTCTGGGGACCCCGAAAGTTGGCGACCGCCCTTCGAATGGCGGTTTAAAGGGAAACCAGCCCCAAAACCACCCGCTGGCCCTAAGGATCCAGGCAAGAAACGAAGAAGCAGGCAACCAGGATTCTCTGGAATCTTCAGGGTTCTTTTCCTTCTACTGACCTGAGTTGGCTGGCCCAAACATGTGCGTTCTAACGTTTTCAAGGGGCGGGCTGAAATTAAACAAAAAAACCTACCAACAAAGAGTTCGAAGCTTGCCAACTCCACAGGCAACTCCAGTTCCCCTGACATCACCCCACTCTGAAAAGTCAAGAAACATGTGATGTCGTTGGGCACCGAAACCAAATGCGGCTAATCCGCCTGAGCGGGTCAGGCGAGGTCGCAACAACATGAGGTATCGGCATTTTTCTGGGAGAACGACTGAGAGCGGGTCCCTTTGGGGCACCTCACACCGCCCTTGGAGCTTAAACGCATCAGCGTACCTGCCATGAAAGATACTCCGCCACAACTTCCAGATGGAAAAACCATACGCCATCAACAGATCCCGCACTGGGGGGGGGGGTCTTAAAAACCTCAAAAAATAGCAGGTTCTGTTTTGAGGGGCATATCTGAATGCAAGAGCATCAGGGCTTGGGGGAACAGGCTTGCTCCTTTAGGCACACGCCCCAAAGTTTGGAGGCCTGTTTTCGCAATCCTTATCCGTTCCCGCAAACTGCATTCCCGCAAACCGATGTGAGTTGAGCTCTGGAAATGGACTTTCTGACACTTTGAAAGAATTCAATCGTGGTTGCTGTAGGTAACTCCCTTCTTTCCCATTGAGATGAACATCAAAACCGGAAGTGTTTGATGTTTGGCACATTGATCAAACAGTGATTCGGAAACCAAGTCACTTGCTGCTGATCGGATGCCGAATCAACTCGTTTGCGGAAGTTGTGGCTTTTGGATGTGAACATTCCGATGGAACGGCTCGTCGTTTATTGATAGAACCATTTGCACCCCACAAGGTACCATACTGCCTTTTAGACCTGACCCGAAAATGCGCCCGGCGCAGTCTTCGTTTGGGGGAGAAAGAAAGTTTCATCTTGAGTCAACAGCAACCTTGAGCAATCTGCCAGTGTTGTCAAATGTACAACACACCAGAGCGGCGGCGCGGGTTTGTCTTTTTGTTGAGGGAACCCAAAAACAGCTGGGTGTCAGAATTGCTTGTAATTAATCCCAAAGAGGGTATATATCCTGAAAAAAGACACAGACACACATGTGTCTAACAAGCGCAGAGGGCGACGTTCTCAGCGCTGCCTGAAGTAGACGATGAACAGCACGCCGAACACGATAAAGTTCTCTAACCTGTTTTTGACACCCGGGTCCAAGTACCTTGCGATGTACCTTGACCTTGTTTGACCCCAAGTAAATACATCCTCCCAAGGTATCGTTTCTGGAGCTCTGGAGATTCGTTGGCCATTGGAAATGCGTCCAAACGGATTTCAAAAAACCAACCCAACTGCTGGATGGGCTTCCCAGTTTCACATGCCAATAACGCATGGCTGACGTCGCTGAAAAAAAGCGGCAACTGGACACCCAGAAGCTGAGTCCTAAGGGAAGAACCCGTTGACGAAGCCAGGATTTCAAATGGGCAAGAAATTGATTAAAAGAACTCAGTCTCCGAGTTTCGCTACCTGGTTTAAAGATCACATGGCCATAGTGAACATCCCAATCCCCACTAAAATAGGTTCTAAAATGGGTGGTGCACCCACCCCAAAATTGGATCCCATTGGTTTTGACAACCACAGCCACATGGCACAAAACAAACAAAGGGGTGTTTGAACATCACCACAAAGGAAACTCTGCCTGAATCGGCATCCAACAGGTGATTAGTTTTTCTCACGCCGCCAAACAGAGAAACAAACTGCTTTGGTAAAACAAGAATATCCCTACCCTCAACTGGAAAGAGCGAGCGGTTTAGCATCATTCCTGACATGATGCTCCTTACATCAGCTTCTTTGTACGGAGAATGGTCCCACAGTCCATGTGGAACACGTCTTTCTGTCATACCAACGTGGGCCATCCTTGTGACTACTTTGTCAAGGAGGATTCCCTTGGTATCACAATGGCCCTTGTCCACAACCACGCCTGTGTTGGCACCTCACATCAAGAAATGCTTGGGACAAGCTCTTGAGCTTCATGACTTTCACCGGCCCAAGCTCTCTCCCCAGACTAACTCCCAATACAACTTCAGCACTCCTCCCAACAGAAAGCCGGACGTGAGGGACCCCCTGAAACTGATCTGCAAACCCCAGCATTCCAGTGCTCGCCGGTTCCATTCTCGCGACGAATCTATTCGAACAAAGCTCCACCTCTCCTCACTTCTGAGTAAAACTGGCCAAACAAATACACGGACTTACGACTACAACGCTCTCCCCAAGACATATGAAGTCAGTCCCACTCCGGCAAGTCCCAATGGCCTCCGGGCGCCTGGCGCAAGGGATGCAGAGACCTATCCCTGGAGCTGGGTATCTGGAAACGCCCCACCTGACCTCTGCACTTGCGGGGTGTATTCCAGGCTGAAAGTAATTGGATTGCATTCGCAACATATTTGCAAGTCTTCTCACCAAGTCCATCCAAAAACAACTAGAACAAAACAGCTTCACATAGGGGCCACCTGAAAACAGACCACAGATTGTGCCCTTGCAGGCGCCGGACGCGTCGCTATTTTTCTGACCTGACTTGCAAGCCCGGACCTTAACCAACCAAATTAGGGAAACCAACAGGTCGAAGCTAAGGGTGGGCCTATACGTTCATTCCAAAACGGATCTAAAGACGAATCCCAGCCAAAAGCGCAAGGACCCAAACCCTTCACAGAGGGAAGCGAAGGAAAAACTACTGAGAAAGCGATAGAAAGCAAAATACTGATGACCCCCGGCAACACCCGATACGGGACTAAGGGACCAACAAAATCGATACCCCAGCTTGCATGAGCCTGTTACCAGCCTTAAAGTTACAATAAGCCACATTGATGACAACCAGCAAAAAAACGCACCCATAAACGGACTTTGACCCCCACCTATCACAATTCTGACGGGGAAATAACGGGCCAACAAAAGTGATGAAAATCCCTCGACTCTTCCAAATGCTTGAGGTGACACAAGCAAAAACACAATATTCACAAGTGACCCAATCCCACTCAACCCGACTGGAAAGACAACATGTATCACCAAAATGGCACCACCAATTGGAGAACATCAGATACACATCACCCACTTCGCACGAAACGCAAAGGGAGTCTCTGGAAGCCAGGCCTGTTCCCAATGGCAAAACCTGAACGCCCAGCCTTTGCCGCGGTGAAGGACGGAAAAATCCATGATCCAAGCCTGAGGACGGTGAGTTTCAAATATTAAAACCTAACCAAACCCAAAACAAATCTGTGCGATGGTCCAGCGGCCCGCAGTCCATTTGTGGACCCGAGGCCTCCCCAAGAAAACAACGCAAGCATCCTTAAAGACGCGGACTTTTCCAAAGAAACTTTCACGGCCTTGCTACAGCCTAGGGATCCAATGGAGGCATAGGAAGTAGCCCTTGGTCATGGATTCGCTGTGTAGCCGATGTGTCATGCTTTTCTATTTCAGAGTTGGAGAAGCCTTCTTCTTGTACTCCAAAACCTACAAGTGACAAGGTCAACGTGCAAAGAAGGAACCAGGCGCGATGTGACGCATCCGCTTGTTGGACTGGTCGCGAGACGCCCAAAGAATCCGGGTGCGGCTCCTGTTCCGTCCTGATCCCCTTGCCAACTCAGAGTGGAGCCCTCGTCAGGTTTGCTGGTCGCCGGAATTGGTCGGGCTAGGTGTGCGTGTGTGCTTTCTTTAAGGCGCGGTAATTACCCTTTTCAGCTCGCTTCAATTGAAGGCCAAATGGGAAGCAAACACAAACTGCCATGTCTAGGGCCCGCATCCCTTTGAACCAAAGACTAAAACCTGCGTAACCTCGTTTCTTCAAATTTGAGCCATATCCACATATCCTCCAATCAACCCCCTTTTTCGCTTTCCCCGGGGCTCCCTGCGAGGTAGCTTTCCTGCACCGCCTGCTGCCTCCGCGCCCTGAAGGCGTCTGAAGGCGATTGGTCTTGAGGAGATCAACCTCTTGAAAGCATATCATGGGGCTCTTCAAATAAGGCATATCATTCAGAGCCCAAAAATAGACTTAACATACCTGGTCTATCATTCAGAGCCCAAAAATGGACTTACCTGGTCCAGTGCAACTCCAGGGCAAGTCCAATTGTTTTTTAGTGCTTCTGGTGCGAACGAGGCCAGATCCACCCTTAATGTTCACTGGAGTCGCACTGGGTGTTCGCTAGAGCGGCTCTGGATTCGCTAAACCGCACTTAATTTTCGCTAAAACAAAATTTAAATTTCACTGGACTGGAAGTTCTGGAGCGGAACTGGACTTTTGCTGGAGAGGCGCTGGGTTTTTCACTTGAGCACTGTATTTTTGACTGGACTGACATTGGATTTTCGCTGGGGTGGCGCTGGAAGGACAACTTTAAAGTTGGTTGACTATATTGTGAGCTGTGCATGATCAACCTGGCAAGGCCCGAGCCAATCATTTTCTGTTGACCTGATGATGAGCCATGGGAGAAAACACAGGAATTGCATGGGACCTTTGCTAGTCTTCGCTGCTTTGTCATTGGTGTTACTTACCGTTGGAGATCCGCCTTGCAAGGAACAGTAGATATGAAGCGGCCTTGTTTGAAGCGGTCTATGATGTTGCCCATTGACAACCCGTGACGAGAAATGTGTTTTTGCCATGGAACACCCGGTGTTTCACCCGACAAAAAACGGGAATTCGGAGGGGCACTTGTTTCCGACGACAAAACTGCAAGGGGGGTCGACTTGGGACGGAATACCAATGTTCTGCCTTTGAGTTTTGGTATCGCTCCAAGCAACCCTGAATTGCCCCAATTCTGTTTGGATTTTAATTTGACTTCACATCTGTTTGGCCAGTGTCGTCAGTGGTCGAGGCGAAACACAAAAAGGCTACATGTTCGCCAATGTGGAAACTTGCGAAAAATCGGAACTGGCAACAAAAAAAAAAAAGCAAACATGTCCTGTACGCGGGCAGCTGGCGACAAACATGGAAAGGCTACATCTTGTCAGGTGAACAACAAAGCAAAGCTCCAAGAGCCACGGTCGATATTTGAGCTCGACCCCAAACAACTTGACGGCTCCTCATAGGTCTTGTCTCAGCAAGGGGACCATTCACAAGGGCTCTTTATATAACAAATAATGAATTTGCCCCTCCGACTCCGACCCCCCCACCACCACCACCACACCATCCCCCCCCCCCCCCCTGCAAAACAAAGTTGGTTTCTCTTGGTGTGGTGAGGTGCGAGAAGTCATGATTCAAATGGCCAAGTTGCATCTCTTTCAGGTTCCCAGAGTCCCAGCCCCTTCTGAGCCCTCGAAACATCATTTTGTGGACTGAGTTCAGGGCCGAAGTGTTGCGACCATGCAATATGTAAATATACCCTCTAAGCAAATATCCGTTTATTTTAAAGGTATGGCAAAATATCCGGGTTTTTCGAGGAAATACCGGGTTTTTACTTTTTGCGTTGTAATCAGAATGGTCTTGCGTGAGTTATGATTGTGGTTCCCTCAATATAATCCTTTTGTTGGCTCTCTTACATCCAGTCAATCGCTCCACGGCCGCCTAGCGATCCCATCCAAGCAAGCTCATTGAGCATGGCACCTGTTGCAAATCACCTGCTGAACTCGAAACAATGGTCAATCCACAATTTGTTGGGAAGGCTTCCCAGATCGTGGCTCGGGAAGCTTAAAACAGCATTGGAATATGAACTTTCTGACAAGGGCAACAAGTAGTCCCAGTTTACCGCAAGCGGTAGCTGCACGTGTATACATATTTTGTATGGCACTGAGCAATCTGCTTGGGACTGTTTGCGTAAAGCTCGCGTCGGATACATCTGGAGGGCCGTCTTGCAAATGCTCACTGTTTGACAACCAAGTCCCGTGCTAGAGCATTGATCCCGGAACTTCTCGCAGGCTTGTCTAAAACGTCGCAGGAACATCATTTTTGGAGCGAGCCAAAAGAACCTAACCCACTTTGAACACTGGACAGCAGGTAGTAAAATGAACACATGAATGACTGCTTTTCGCAGGGTCACCTTGCAAGCTTATTTCGGGCAGCTCGGGCCTGGAAAGCTGCTTGAGCAGAAGCTGAAAATCCCATAAATTGCGTACGGGTTTGTACGGTATTTTTATGGGATTTGTACGGTTTTTGTACGGGTTAGGAAAAACCTGGTTTTCGGGCAAATATGGGTTTGTATGGGATTTTTATGGGATTCGTATGGGATTTTTATGGGTTTCCTTTTTTTTCGCACTCGCTCGGCCTTCCAGAAGCTTTCCAGCAAAGAAAAGCGGGCACACAGCTAGATTGCGCGAGCAGCGAACTGGTTTTGTATGACATTGCGGTAGAACGTCCGAAGGTTTTCGGGCACAAGCACGTACTACGCAACATGTTTGGCTTGGACTGTGCTTCCCATCGAATCAAAGTTAGGTGCTGGAAGAAAGTGCGACTTAGGCGGAGGCCAGCTTTGTTGGCATTTGGCTTGTGCGCCGAGCCGAGTAAAGAATGCAAGTGTCACTTTGGGATACTGCCTGATGTTTTAAAAATACAAAAAAGTACCAAGATGAGCATGATGTGTCAATCACGCAGAGCTACTGATGGTCATGTAGTGAGCTGCACACTTGTACATTCAAGTTGGTTGTCCCGCTGCATTGTTGAGTTTTGGTTGACCACGCCCTCGCGTCTACCCCTGCCTTTTGAGCTCCAATCTTGAGGAGCAGGGGGCTATCGCGCACTTGGCGGTACAAAAGGAAACCACAAGAGATTCCCAAAAAACATCTAGAAACCCAATATACAATTTGGCAGTGAAAGAAACCTGGCGGCTCCTTTCAACACCTGCTCGAGATCCGGCACCTTTGCTCTGTTCTTCAAACATCCGACATTTCGCTTGCGAAAAGTGCCAAAATAAAGGATGTAAGTGAAATACCAGGTTTTTCCCTGGAAAACCTTTATTTTTCCAAAACTTGCCCAAAAACCAGGTTTTCCCATTTGACCCTTTAAAATTAAAGGTTTTTCGCTTAGAGGGTATATATATATATATGTATGTACACATATGTGTAATATATATATATATATATTCTATGAGTTGACTCCTTTCTTTGCAGGAGCCTCTTTCGGGTACCCAAACGCTCAGACTCTAGATGCATTTATGGCTCTCAGCCAGGTCTTGCGACCGGCCAAGCACTTCGGGGTGTCGGATGGAATGGGTTCAACGCTCTTAGGGTCAATTGGGACCCACACCTTTGCCCTTGACTCAAACCACAGAAAATCTGTACATCCTATTTAAGCTCGAACCCCTGCCGGGAGATTTTGCAAGCATGGCAACAAGACGGGAATGTGCCAAGACGAGATTCCTCAAATTGCTGACTTCCTTTCGCCCTTGACACTCATTCAAAACAGGCATTCAGTTGTAGACAAATCCTATGACCAAACATGCACCATAAGTTGCTAGATAGGACAGGTCCCCTTAAAGTCGTTTTTGTGCCATCTACTTTCACCAAACTTCTGGGCTGTCCTCAGATCCCCTACCAGTTTCACTTCTGGGCTACCATGGAAACTCCCACTACACCCCAAAAAACGTAAGGAACCCCATGGCTGGGGTTCCCACCACCACCCCCTGCCGTCAGTTTTAGCAGTCTAGGTTCCCCTGGCGGGGGCCAGAGCTGGAAGGTGAAGTGCTCAAAGCAGTCCAGGTGCATAATCGTTCGCACCTCGCATTGGAAAAACAACTGCTCCAACTGGTCGCATGCTTGGGCCTTCGAGAAAAAGAAAAGAAACTGGTCGCATGTTTGGGGAGAGCTTCTTTGGGGAGAGAGCAAAAGCTGGCAAGGAGGTGAGGCACATGTTGGTCAGCTGCGTTCTGTCTCTGGTGTTTGCTCCGCTGAAAGTTGGGAGGAAGTACTTTGACAAGGGAGCCCCGAACGGCTGGGTGCCTTTTGGCTGCATTTGAACAGTCCAAAGACATCTGCAAGACGAATAACACCGAACATATCACCCAAGTACAAAACTTTCCATCATAAAGACCCAGGTCAATTCAAACCCCAGCTCTTATGAATCACTCAAATGGGAGCTTCCCGAAGACGTTGCTTTCCCAAATTTGGACACCGGGCCCCGAGAAAAGAAGGCATGGAGGGGGGTCTGAAATGCCGGTCTCATGGGGGACAGAAGGTTGTGTTCTAAATGGAGGGCTTCTGTTAAGCTTATCCAGCCCAGTGACTCCATTTGGCTACATAGGTATCTAAGAAAACCACCCTTTCGAAAGTAATTAGCAGGAACATGGCAGGTTGCCCATGGCGGCTTGCGTGGGATCCACTGGGAGAGTCAACTTCTCAAGGAAATCATCTCTGCCAAGTTGCGAGATTCCACATCGCCACATCAAGCCTCGGCTGAACGGCTCGTGGCGCCCTCATATCACCATGTGACCATCAGGGAAAGAGGAACCCTTCCCCCAACATCCAAGCAAAGGTCTTAGAACCTCCTTAGAATCTGAGGGCTCTGAAAACCGAGGGTGTGGGTGACAATACGCGACGCAGTGCGACAAATGAGACGCCCGAGCCCCAAGCGGCTCCGCACGCGACACAGGTCAGGTTCATTCAACATATCTCGACTTCTTTGGCACGCACGGGAAACACACGTGGAATGCTCCCCTCTAAGGCAAACTCCATCAACATCGGGGTGATGTTTATCAACCCTCAAGGGACATCCAGTGGCACGGCTGTATTAGCAAGCTTTGTGCTGGCGGCGGCACGCGGACATCGCCGAGTTTAAATCCCTACACACCCGAAAGGTAATCTCAATTGATATTGGCCCAACACATCAGCCGAACACTCACTCATCTTCTCCGACAAGTCACCGACTATGGCAAACAACAGACCCGAGAAATCATCTTTTGGACCCTCCCGCTACGTCCTTACATCTCCTTAGCTTCCTCTTAAAAACGTAAAGTTGGATACCCCCAGCTCCGCTCCCTTCCAACCCCGGCATGCGCAAAAAGGCCCAACAACTCATCCAAGCGGATTTCCCAGCTCAGGGTTTCGATTTGCTTGTCCCAATTCCGTGGCCTGTTCTACTGGTACTCCCCTGCAAGCGAAAACAGGCTCCCCAAAACAAAGAAAACAAAACTGGGCGGCTTTCGGGGTTCCATGTCAATCTCCGGGGCAGGTTCCAACTCCAGTTTTTGTCGGGCAGCTCCACGATGAAGCTGATGGCCAGCGCGTCGAACACCGCCTGCGCGGGTGTGCGTCCGGGTGAATGCACCTTTTTCGACACCATGCGTCCATTATCCCTTAGGGAATGACCTGAAGCGGCCCTAAAACCGCACTTTCCGCAACCGTGATGACGGTGCACTGGTCTCCAAGGATTGGCAGACTGCGAGAGGGATCAGCGGACCTCCTGTTTTCTATTGTTGGGGATGCATTTCGCGAGAAGGCGACTTTGGGCGGGGGGTACTTTTGCAAGAAGCTGGTTTCCTTTTTGGGAATGGCGTGCCCCAAACCACCATTCGGAGGGAAATTCCGAGAATCCTGTCTCGACATCTCTTACCACTATGAAGATCTAAGGCCTGCCCCCAGGGAAACGCACTGGATCTCTTTCCGGCTGCAAGGTTTCGGGATATAACCCAAAGGCTTAACAAGGGTCAGATTTGTGCTGAAACACCGAATTGTTGCAAGTGATCAGGAGGAAGCTACTCATCACGTTTTAGGGCCCCAGTCGTCTGGATGCCCTGCCTCTTTCACGTTGTCGCTCGCCAGGATGATGCTCATCGACCTTCGTTGAGCTCATCGCACGGGGCGATCCGGGAAGGCTTACTCGGCCTCAAATACTGAGCCGTCCTGCTGAATTATGACTTGGGCTTTCAACTCCTTGGGCCCCGCTGGAAAGCTCTCACACCGAGAGCAAGAGTTGCCGAGAGGTCACTGTCTTAAGGCAAAGACCAAAGCTCGCGACAACCCTTGCCATTCAAGGCAATCGCTCCTTCGCTGCTTTGTCCCATGGCTTGTTGAAAGAGGTGTCTAAGGCCCCAATCCAATCTCGTGCTCGTATAATTTCAATTACTCTAGACAACTGTGCAGGCCCCGAGTCAAGCTGCACAAGTAACAGGATCCATTGCAGGATCCGTCTTTCGTCCGTTGGCCGGTGGAAACAAGAAGGATCGACCGACCTGGCCCCAAAAGGAGGTTGAACATGGCACTTGCAGGTGAAGCGACCATTCCTCAAACGACAGCTATTGTCTCTTGCTTCACCACAAATGATTTGCCATTCCAAAGACAGGGTTCGCTATGCAACCACATTTTAGAAAAGATGAGGTCGTACCCGCACCCTCCCCAAAGCCGGTGCTCGCTCCCGTTCACCAGTTTTCCTCTAACAGCGACTAGCGTGCCAACCATATGCCTTCAATGTGGACCAGTGCCTGCAAATGCTAAGAATCCGACAACAAAGGATAGGAGGCCTACCCAAACCCAATATGAAAATATGTGTATATATATACATATATATATATATATATGAGGGCTCATATATATATATATGAAAGCAATCTAGAAGTTCAGGTGCTACACACCACACAACTCAAGCCCATGGTTCCCTTTCTAACCCGTACATTGGTCTGAATTCCCGGTTAGCTACCGGGTTTCTGATCGTCCCTGCCCAAACTCAGTGATTCCCTCCAGGACACTAAGGGAATCCCCTAAGACAGAAAGGAGAATGGCGAAGCGTTGCTCCCAGTCAACATGGAACCCAAAACCCACCATTTTGAGATGAATCTCCTTTTGGGGATTCCTTGTGATTTCTTTTTTGGGGGTCCTATGTTCATTTGTAGGGGAGCACCATATAGTGGTAGCCCAGGAAACACCAAGGGTGGCTCGACCATACTCGGCTCCCGACTGCACAGAGACCCAGTACTGGATCAGCACCTTTGCCCTGGTCAGCCAGACCCGTTTGCACGGAATCTGATCGAAGGGCTCTGAGACCCCGACGACGGGGGGGGGGGGGGCTAATTCTCGGGCAAGCAAAATGAAACCAGTCCTTTGACTGCAGGCGGTTTCAGTTTATCCAAAAACCTTGGTTTGCTCTTGGTGGTTTGGATTTGGAGAGGTTTCCATCCTCTGATGAGAGGGACTTTGTGGACTTCGTGGTTGTGGACATGGTCAGCCCCTTGAATTTCTCAAGCTCAAGGTCCGAAATCCAAAGCTGAAAGAAGGCGCACGGCCAAAAGGATCTACAGGCTGGTGCCATACGTAGTTGCAACGCTGGCAACCGATAAGTGTATTGGTGAAGGAAAACACATGTCTCTCAGCTAGCCCCAGGTTTCATTTTTTTCTCCCCGGTGTCCACCTTGATTGTTTGTCCCCCTTTTGAGAGAAAGAGGGAGTCCCAACCATAGGTGGCCTTTTGGAAAAATACATGGCCCTGGTAAATGGATTTTCAATCAAACTTACCTAAAAAGGACACCTTTGGTTCCAACCTCTTGCAGCTCCAAAGACGGACAACTGGGAACTGCCTTGCTTAATGCAGCTTCTCATCATCCAAAGGGCCACACATTTAGCGCCAAAGGAATCGCTGGGAGACCCAAAAGACAGGCTGGAACCCTTCCGGTTGCGTCCCAAAACAGGCCGGGCTGTCAGCAGCGCGAGCACTGCAAAAGGCGCCAGGAAAAGGGACCAGTGTAACCTGAGTCTGCCGCTCCCTGGGCCTCCAGAATTCACCAAGAGTTTGTGTGACGTTCCTTTTGCCAGGTGCTTGGAACAAACCTCTGGAGCCCTTTCAGCCTCAGCACGGGAAACGAGGCTTTCGGAAGCTGATTGATGTGCCTCACGTCTCCTTTTGAACACCTTCGCCCTGGGCCTTCCCAGCACTGGGTCACTCAGAATGCAAATGAGATGATCCCAAAAAATGCGATGATGATGTCATGAGGGTGGTGCCTTGGTAGAAGCAAACACTCAATGACACAGGCCATCAATGGCTGTGTTAGTTCCCACCAAGTTAACATCAGGCAAGAGGTGATTGTTTTCTTTGGCTCGGCATGTTTCGGTGAACCTTGAACCGGCTGATCTTGATTGCCAACGTTCTTTGGAGGTCAACCCCGGTATTTCCATTTTCCCAAGGACACTATTGGATATCTATTGATATTAGATATCTATTAGATATCTGTTTGATACTGCCAGTCCCCCCCCCCCCACCCAATCAAGCCCGAAAGAGAGGACATTGGACTCCCCATATCCCCGAATCAACCACATATTAACACTTACCTCACCCCTGGGTTTGGTGCACGTGTGGTTGACTTCCCATGCACGAAAGATGATGCTTAAAAGTGCTTCGCAAATTTATGAGGCGGACACAAAACACCATGACGTGGCAAACGCGGTGTTCTGTTGTTCGCAAGATGTTTTAGGGTCACCGCGGCTCTCGCATGGTGGCTAAGGGATCAAAAAAAAGTAGTAGTAGTAGTAGTCAGTAGTAGTAGTAGTAGTCAGTAGTAAGTAGTAGTAGTAGTAGTAGTAGTCAGTAGTAGTAGTCTAGTAGTAGTAGTAGTAGTAGCAGTAGTAGTAGTAGTAGTACAGTAGTAGTAGTAGTAGTAGTAGTAGTAGTAGTAGTAGTAGTAGTAGTAGTAGTAGTAGTAGTAGTAGTAGTAGTAGTAGCAGCAGTAGTAGTAGTAGTAGTAGTAGTAGTAGAAGCAGTAGTAGTAGTAGGTAGTAGGTAGTAGGTAGTAGGTAGCAGGTAGTAGGTAGTAGGTAGTAGTTAGTAGGTAGTAGGTGGTAGGTAGTAGGTAGTAGGTAGTAGGTAGTAGGTAGTAGGTAGTAGGTGGTAGGTGGTAGGTAGTAGGTAGTAGGTACTAGGTACTAGGTAGTAGGTAGTAGGTAGTAGGTAGTAGGTAGTAGATAGTAGGTAGTAGGTAGTAGGCCTTCACGGCTGACTGCGTTTAGAGTTCAACATGCCGGCGCCCAGCTCTGCCAAAGTGGTGAGCAGGGTCTGCTGCACCCCACCACCTGCGCCAACAAAGGACAATGATTGTCAAAGGCTGGCCCGCAGAAGGGCAACACAGCGTGACATCCTCGAAATGCAAGGCGGCCCTATTGCCGCTGCCCGTCGTGATCACTCACAGAGGTACTAAGCCACAACCACACCCGGTGAATCTAAAGAAGGTGCGCTGTCCATCCACTACCTTCCACTCACCCTCGTGAAGTTAGGGTGTTGGCAGCAGCTCGCACCAACTTCTTTCGAGCCACCCTGCAACAGGGTCTAGGCTGGTAGGTAGGCCGACACCGCCTGTGTGTATGTATGTATGCATGTACGCATGCATGAATGTATGTTTGTTTGTTTGTTTGTTTGTTTGTTTGTTTGTTTGTTTGTATGAGTGTGTATGTATGTATGTATGTATGTATGTATGTATGTATGTATGTATGTATGTATGTATGTATGTATGTATGTATGTATGTATGTATGTATGTATGTATGTATGTATGTATGTATGTATGTATGTATGTATGTATGTATGTATGTATGTATGTATGTGTGTGTGCATGCATGCATGCATGTATGTATGTGTGTGTGTGTGCCTGTTTGCGTGTGCATTTATGTGTGTATATGCATGTATGTACGTATGTACGTATGTATGCATGCATGTGTATGTAGTATGTAGTATCTAGTATGTGTGTGTGTGTATGTTGGTAGGTAGGTATGTACGCGTGCGCGCAGCCATGCTGATCGGACTCCGTGATTCCGTGATTGATCTCAACGCGACCCCCCCCCCCCAAACTGTGCTGGATTGTTAAGTGGCTAACTGGCCCTCCCCCCGATTGCTAACTTGTTAACTTCCCCCCCCCCTGCTAGATTGTTAACTTGCTAACTGGCCCTCCCCCGTGGCTAACTGGCCCTCCCCCCGATTGCTAACTTGTTAACTTCCCCCCCCCCTGCTAGATTGTTAACTTGCTAACTGGCCCTCCCCCCCGATTGCTAACTTGTTAACTTGCTACCTGGCCTTCCCCCCGGAAGGAGTGCTGACTTGTCAACTTGCTGACTTCCGCCCCCCCTCGCCCCCTCCCCTCCGACTTTGCTAACTTGCTAACTGGCCCTTCCCTCTCTCAGGATTGCTAACTTGCTAACTTGCTAACAGACCCTCGCCCCCCCCCCCCCGAAGGATTGCTAACTTCTGAACTTGCTAACTGGCCCTCCCCCCCGAAGGATTGCTAACTTGTTAACTTGCTAACCCCCCCCCCCGACTTCACTAACTTGTTAACTTGTTAACTTGCTAACTGGCCCTCCGCCCCGAAGCATTGCTTCGCTAACTTGTTAACTTGCTAACCCCCCCCCCCCGCCACCGACTTCACTAACTTGTTAACTTGCTAACTGGCCCTCCCCCCTAACTTGTTAACTTCCCCCCCCCCTGCTAGATTGTTAACTTGCTAACTGGCCCTCCCCCCCGATTGCTAACTTGTTAACTTGCTACCTGGCCTTCCCCCCGGAAGGAGTGCTGACTTGTCAACTTGCTGACTTCCGCCCCCCCTCGCCCCCTCCCCTCCGACTTTGCTAACTTGCTAACTGGCCCTTCCCTCTCTCAGGATTGCTAACTTGCTAACTTGCTAACAGACCCTCGCCCCCCCCCCCCCGAAGGATTGCTAACTTCTGAACTTGCTAACTGGCCCTCCCCCCCGAAGGATTGCTAACTTGTTAACTTGCTAACCCCCCCCCCCCGACTTCACTAACTTGTTAACTTGTTAACTTGCTAACTGGCCCTCCCCCCCGAAGCATTGCTTCGCTAACTTGTTAACTTGCTAACCCCCCCCCCCGCCACCGACTTCACTAACTTGTTAACTTGCTAACTGGCCCTCCCCCCTAACTTGTTAACTTGCTAACCCCCCCTCCCCCCCTCCGACTTTACTAACTTGTTAACTTGCTAACTGGCCCTCCCCCCCCCCCGAAGGATTGCTAACTTGTTAACTTGCTAACTGGCCACCCCCGGTTGGCCCTGGGGCCTACGTGTGTGTGCTTGTAAAACGGTTTAATTGTTTTTTGATCCTGATTTAATTTTTTTTTGATCCTGAATTAATTTTTTTTTGATGCGCATGCCTCGCATGGTGGTCACTGTACTTGCCCAGGCCCCTAGAAAGACACGTGAACTTCCTTTGGATGATGGATACATCACTCCACGCCTTCAAACATGCCGGACATTGGGCTTGTCTGGGTGAACCATAGGATGTTGCAGTACGTTGCACCCAAAATGAATGGAAACACCAATCGGATTCAACAATTGCACAAGCACCTCTGGCAGCCCGAAATCCGGCCCCAGCACCTTGGTCGGAAATCGGAACCCTTGCAGCTGAAGGAGCTATGTGGCGTTAGAGGGAAGCCAAAGGAAAAATCACCATGGGGGTGCCCTGAACCAAGACACTACCAAAACTCCTTTGATTCAACCCAGCCGTCGAGAGAGGCGTCCGAGGCTCCAGCACATTCAGCCTGGAGCGGCCGGTCCTGCAGCGCCAAGCCGACCCAACGGATCACCAAGCGCCAGTGTCTTTGGGCTAGGTCCTCCAGTAGAGAGGTTAGAATAAGTTGGTACCAACTTGTTTCTGTCTATTTTACTTTGTTGCTTTCTGCTCCCCGGCTAAAAGTTTAACTTTTGGTGGTTTAATGGAAAACTCATTAGTTGGCAAAAAGTTAAAATCCTAACATCCAAGCAGAATGCACCAAAGTTTAGTAGGGGAACCCTCTCCAAAAAAAGAAACGGTAAAAGGGCACCTAGCTGGGGGACCTAGTGGAGCGCCAGGTCCTAGGATCTCTGCAAAGGGTGTCAGGAGATTTGCCGCTTTACCGGGATGGATCCATGCCTGATGCCCAGAACCGAACCGCTCCTTCAGGATTGCTCGTGGGCTCACCAGGCTTGTGGGATGAACCTTGTCAGACTGTCAAAGCCGAAATCGAACGCCAGATGGCCTGATAGGGACACCAAGTGAGTCTCGCAAGCCCAAGACTCCCGGCCACACTCCAGAAATTCTGTGCCATCTTATTTGTCAGCCCCCCCAGTCTTTAGTTTACCTCCGTGAATATGTTGGTTTGTGGATCCAATAAACAGGATGAGGATGGAAGAAAATAAGGCCCGCTTACCGGAGTGAGTCAACAGGAGTGCACCTGAAAGCGTCAGGAGGTGATTCCAAGTGACAACCGAACGCACTGTCTTTCCGCAGAGAGCAAGAACCACCTGACATTCACCGTAGTTTTTGGTTGGTCTACTTGCCATGTCGAGGGATTCTATTGGGGCTCGCTAAGCATTAAGCCCTTGGGCCCTTGGTGCTGGCGAGGCTCGTTCTCCTTGGGTGCTCCGAACCGGGCACTCCGCAAACTTGTCAGTTTCATTGTGGCATCCCTGAAATTGAGACGTCGCCTTCTTTGGACACACCGGCTCCAAGTTCAAAGCCTACGGGTCTTAACCGCAGAAAGTTGAAACTCTAAAAGGTTGGTCCCACAAATAATTGACCGAATCTGCAGTACGCATTTCAACAAATTGGCTTTGAACAAGTCAGCCTCTTGAGAATCCACCAACTCCGTCTTCCCGGCCTGAGGTCATCTGGGTCTATCCGCTTCACATCCGTCCTCGCGGGCTTCTCTTGGACAAAAATTTCTCAGAAAAAAGATAATGTGGCACCTGGTGTAATATCGGGACCCTGGGTTATGTCAAGCTTCCATGGCTTGAATCCAACCCCCCCACTGTTTGGCGGTCATCTGTTATGTCAAGCTAAGCCCCCCCCCAAAACATACTCCAAACAATCGGAGCAAAATGAGCCCTATGGGCAACTGATTTTTCAGCTTCCCGGCTCCGGCCCAGAAGTAAAAACTAAATCCGGGCAACCCAAAGTCTTAGCCTTTCACTTGTAAAGGTTCGTTCATCTAAGCAAGCTCTTCCCAGCTCAAAGGCTAAAGGAGTTAGATCTAAGAAACTCAACTTTGCAAGTGGTGCCCAAGCCATCAAATTTAAGATAGCTTCTGTATAAACCCGCGGGAGCCAGTGATCAAGCGTTTTTGGGGTGGGCACGGTGGGTCAAATCTGGCCATACTGACATACGTACTCGAAATCTGAGAGCAAGTCTTGGCAATACACAATTTAGACTAGGCAATACTAAGCTAAGTAATTCTTGGGAATCTGAGAGTAAGTCCTGGCAATACTAAATTTGGACTAGGCAATACTAAACTAGGTACTGGCAATCCAACAGTGAGTGCTGGCAATGCAAGACTAAGGTTTGGATAATTTAACAGGAAGTGCTGGCAATACGAGACTACGCATTGGCAATACTGATACTAAAGCAATGCCAGACTTTCTAGAGGACCCCGAGCACCGCTGGGGCTATTCAACAAGGTCCTGCATTAGGCCGTCCATACAAGTTATGCCCCTACCCACACAGGAACATGTATGCTTGCACCCTTTCCCAGGTTCTGAAGGGCCACGAGATAGAAAGCATGTTTCTTCCTTGGTTGCATCATGATTACTCAGATGCATGACTAACAAATAGCAAGCGCAAATACCTTCTCTTGGTTTGACACATACCAGACTGACACATTTCTATCGCAACTACCTTCGTTGGGTTTGACACATACCTGCCTGACTGACTGAAACATATATTTTACAACTACCTTCCCAGGTTTGATACATGCCTGATTCAATCATATCAGGCACACCTGCCTAGGATTCAAACCTATCCCTGACCAAAGCATATCTAACCCAGATGTGTTTACTTGAATCGAATGCCGCGCTTTGAGCTTTCGAACTCCCAACCACTTGAGTGAGTCTTCCCCTTGAGGTCTCAGGGGTTAGGATCGGCCACCAGCCAGGCCAAGTGAGTCACTTGCTCAAACCCGGTATTAAAATGATCGTAATCCAAGAACCATGTACAGGATTACGAAGGCGGCCGCAACTATTTACGGCTGGGATTGTCCCTTACTAACCCTTCATCTACCCAGGTTTTGATTGTGGCTCAAGTGCAAAGTGCCGAGCGGATGCTTGAATGGTGTGCAAACGACTGGCACGCACACCTGGGTATGCTTTTGAAAGGATCCTTAAAATGAGTTCAAAACACACCAATATCTGAATGCATCAAAATCATTCACACTCCCAAGGGGGCAAATGGTTTCATATCAAAGGAACCTTCATCGTGGATGAGGACGCAACCTCCTTGATCAGACCGATATATTGCGCCCACATTCGCCCAGACATGTACAGAACCAGATGTTGATCAGGTCAATCATATCATTTCCCCTGCAGTCAACTGTCATAAACTCCGTTGTGCACACATACAAACGCACATAGTTGGAGTGTCCAAACACAACTGCAGATGTCAAAACATGTTGCATCTTCTGCAAATCATGTTGTTTCACAGGAAATGACAGTAAGCAATGATTTTGTTTCAGTCCCACAATTACATCCGACCGGGAAAAGTGACCATCGTGAGAAACAAGCAGCTGCCGTCACTGCCCTTTACTCCTTTTGGCCCCCTCGACAGGCAACTGTGCAGGGAAGGGAGAGGGGGTCCGTCATGATCGTCACCCCAATGAGACATAGACTGACGTTCCCAAACCAAACTAAGAAGAGTACGCTCCCAGCCCGGATCTCCATAGCACAGAGTCAGGCCATGTCAGGCCAACCCCTTGATGCATGTTCAATCAAGCCACTATCGTTTGAACAAACCCCCTTTGGTTCCCATCTAGATTGGAAACCAGGCCTGGTTATTGAAGACAAGAACATGCCCAATGTGTCGACCTCAAAACAAGACGTGCCCTTTTGAGCCGGCCCTTCTTTCAGTGCTTTGGACACACTCTTTACACACAGCTTCCCCCGCAACCTCCAATCACATCCCCATGACTGTTGGCTTCCTTGGTACATTTTACATGGGCTACTCAGCCCCAAACAACCTGACACATCCGTGGCTGCCAGGGCCCGTGCCAGGAGGTGGGATTGATGGCAAACACGAAGCAACGAAGCCTCCGCAAAAGGCGGCAACACCGACGGCCTGTTCAAACCAGGGGAAAAGTCGCGAGCTTCCTGCGTTGGATTAATCCCTATCCAACAGGAATACCATTAAATACGCACCGCTGAAGGTCTGAAAGTACGGGCTTATGGTTCTGACCGTAACAGCTTTACAAACGGCGCTACGAATCAATTGAGCCGCTGGTCTTTATACATGAACGTAATCTACCAGGCTTACACCAAGTGGAGCTTGGGCCGTGCTGTCGAGTCTGGTTGCCCGTTATAAAACCAATCTCACCACCCACCTGTGACTCGCTTCACAACAAACTTGAGACGACGGTGCTGATCATAACACGTGATGGCTCACTGGAACCTTCAAGAGGACACTTCTAGAATTGATCACCTCGCTCTCTTCCAGTTGTGTTTATGTATTGACCTGCGATTCCTTGCATGAGCACAGGTCTCATGAACAGAAAACCTTCCCGTAGCATGAAGTGAAAATATCTGGCCCGAAGTCTTGGCCTCGGACCGAGGGAAGCCCAAATCGGATGGCCTGAATAAACATGTGAAACCAGCACACCAGAAGCTTCAGTCGGCCTGGGGTGATATGAGCCACAGTCAAAAATGTAGGTCCCGCACATAAGAAAAAACTGTCCTGAGCTTCGCCATCCCCAATGCTTGCTATCCCCAGCCAGTCTCCTTTACAGCTCAAGCTTTCTCTTTTCCCCGGAAACTCGCCAGCTGTCGGAGTCATTCACTCAAAGGATTGCTGAATCAGCTGATCCCGCGACTGCTGCAAAACCAACAAGCAAACAAACAGACTAAAAGACAAACAAACACGAACAAACGAACGAACAAAACAAACAAACAACCAAACACACAAACAGACAAACAAACAAACAAACAAACAAACAAGCAAGCAAGCAGGCAAGCAAGTAAACAAACAAGCAAACAAACAAACAAACAAACAAACAAACAAACAAACAAACAAACACAAAACACATAAACCGAAACAAAGCACACAAACAATAAACAAAAAAACACAAACATACAAACATACACACATACACACATACACACATACACACGTACACACACATACACATACAAACATACAAACATACAAATATACATTACGCGGTATTACATTGCATGAGACTGCATCACATTACATTGCATTGCATTACATTACAATACATTACATTACATTACACTACACTACAGTACATTACATTGCATTGCATTGCATTGCATTGCATGACATTACATACATACATACATACATGCATACATACATTTAATTTATACATACATACATACACACATACATACATTACGTACGGAAAAAAAAAAAGCAAGCAAACACAGAAACACACAGAACCAACCAACCAGCCAAGCAAACAAACACACTAACAACAAAACAAAGCTGTCAGGAAAACAAAGAAGGAAAAAAAGAAAGGAATCATACAGAGAGACAGAAGCACACAAACACAAACAATCACAAACAAGCAAAACAACAAACAAACAAACAAACACGCAAACAAGCAAACAAGCAACCAAACAGACAATCAAGTAAACAAACAAACACACGCACACAAAACAAACAACCAAACAAACAACCAAACAAACAACCAAGCAAAGAAACAACCATGCAAACAAGCAAACAAGCAAACAAACAATCAATCAAAGAAACCAAACAAACAAACAAACAAACAAGCAATCAAGCAAACAAACAAAACACACAAATGAACAAGACACACCACACACAAAACAAACAAACACACAAGCACGCAAACAAACAAACACACAAACAAACAAACAAACAAACAAACAAACAAACAAACAAACAAACAAACAACCAAACAAACAAACAAACAAACAAACACACAAACAGACAAACAGACAAAGACACAAACAAACACACATACACACAAAACAACAAACAAACATACAAGCAAACAATGAAGCAAACAAAAACAAACACACATATATATATAGACAAACAAAGAGGCACCACAACAAACAAGCGTTATGAAGCAGCCGATACACATGTAAAGCTGCACATATAGCCCTGGTAACACGTTGATAAGTCACCTGCACTGCTACACGAATTCTGCCGCCACATGTTCATCCCCACAAGACCTGTGGTTGTGTCAGGAACTTCGTAAGACACACTGAGGGCTGGGGCGTCATCAACATGTTGTCGAAGAAGGACAGCTGAACCACCTGCACGGCCATTTGATGTTGACAGCTGATTGATAAAGCACTCTGAAAAAGGGCTGCCTGCCAATACTACTTTGGAGGCATTCACAAGGCTTGACCAAGAAACAGCCTAATCCATTCTTGGTACCAGCAGAACCGGGAAGGGGGAAAATAATACGGGGTAATTGAACACTGCCCACCCCTTGGGATAATCCGACAAATGCAAGCATGTGTGGGAAGGGCCTGTTCTGAGTTAGAACGCTAAAGGAAGTAATGCCCTTGTACAAGGCAAGTGAGCAACCCTTTCCTTTGTGCCAACCCGGAAATTCGCAGCTGGGTTTTCGTCGCAAACTGCATGTCAGAGCTCTGTTTGGCCCATGCCCTGTAGAGTTGGTGGCTTGAGTAGGTCTTAGCAAGGGAGGTTGAGTTTGACTCAGTGGGGCCTGAAGTACTGGGGTCCTAAAGTACTGAAGTATGAAGTGACGCTTGTTCTGGAAAACAGCTTGACCCCTCACGCGTCATCTCAGATATGGCCTGCCCTCGCGCGCCCGAAATCATCTGGGGCTGCGGCCACAATCAAGAGCAACTTCATGCTGATGACCATGCTTTCCTGGCCCGCACAGGGCAAAGGAACCACAAACGAGGAAAGGAGGCAGCAAGGCGCAACAAGAGCACGGTTGAGAACAAGAAGCAATGGCACACATTCCAAAAAAGCTTGAGAGAGCAGTAGCCGTAGGACATCTACACCCATGATGGATAGGGCGTACACAATGACCTCGATGAGAAGCCCAGTTCATTAAGATGCAATGTCTCCTGGTTCGCCAAACAAACACAGGCCTGGCAATACCAGGCTGCTTAAAGGGTCGCCATTTTGCCGGGTTCACAAAACTTGGGGATGGTTTTACCTGGAGGGCAATTTGAGGATGCCACTTGAATGGAGCCGGTTATAGGCCGGCAGAGCCATCTTTAGCGATCAGCTCCAACCTGTTTAGCAATTGGCACACTAATTCAGCATTGCGAGCGTTTACAGTCTTCTGTAAATCATGACTGTGGCAACCGATGCCGTCAGGCAATCTTGCCTAGCCAGGCAGGGAAACTCTCTTTATGGTCCACCCTTACTTGCCTTTCGATATACACCAAGCAGGCCTTTTGTCTGGGGGACAATTCCACATTTGTATGCAGGAATTCCATTCGTAGGTCTGCTGCGTCAGGAGTTGGCTGGTGAGAACGGAAGCAACCGGAAAGGAGAAACCAGCTGAAAAGGTCGAATCGCTTTGGGCAGTGAGAAAACGCGTGGAATCATATTGCGTGTCGTTGACCTCAGCCAAAGGGTCTCCAATCGTAGCCATCTCAAGGCGTCAGAGGCTTGCAGGTTTTGCCGCTTCGAGGCGGAGAAATGCCGGAATGCTTTTGCGCAGTCCATTCCTGAAGCTCCCCCAACCGTGCAACAATTGGCTGCCAAAGCAAGTTTCTGGGAAACAACTGGTGTGTCCACCCCAGCCATGAGCATGGCAAGACTGACAGATGATCCCGCAGAGAATTTCGAGTCCGCTGAGCTGATTCCGTGATCTTTTGTCCGGAAACGAGAATTGGGGATCCGGACTCCTTCAACCCTGCTTCAAGGGCAACAAGTGATCCTTGTGTCAGTTTGGTAGAAGATGGTGGTTTTGGTTTGGTTCCAATTGACCAGTACCATCTGCTTCCCGTGTTCAACCCGGGTTATTCCTGGATTCTCGTGTCCTATGGATGTTCAAAAGGAAAGTCGATGGGTTTGTCACTGACAACGGGCGACCTCAGTCACAATCAAAGCCTGGCAAAAGGTCGGTACCCGAATCCATGTAAATAACTATCAAACAACTGGGACGGAAATCCACACCCGTTTCTTGTAAGTGTCCTTTGACCTTCTACCCGGGGAAGAGCTTTGCCACCCCCACAAAGCTACACCCCAAAACCCTCAACATGACTTCTCAGGGTAGTCATTGGGGGTAGTGATCCCTAGAGGTTTTTCGGGGCTCACCCTTGATCGTCCCTGTTGTCGTGCCTCTGCATCGAGATCCAGCGTCTTCCAGAAGGGTTGCATGCCGAAGGTCGTCTGGCGAGAGTCAAATCCCGGGTTGAGAAACACGTGGGTGCCGCGCTGTGGCTATTGAAAAGGTCTAGCAACAACAAAAATGAAGAGTACCGATCCCCTCTTGCGGCTTTTGGGGAAATCTGCCTAGCACCCAGGCAATATATTGCTTCCCTTTGGAACATGTATGGTTTTTTTTGGCATAGAACCGAGCGCCAGCTAAAGATGTCTAGCTTGCAATAAGGAGGGTGAAGGTGAGCAACTCCTGCAATCGTTCACCTGTAGGTGTGTCTCAAAATGGTGAGCCCCAGCCCTCAAATTGATGACTTTTCATTTGGCTTCCCCTTCAAACCACCTACGAACATGTGACATGTGACATACGATAGGCACCAAACCTTTACCAGTGGCTCTCCACGTCAGTGGCCTTGTTTCCTTCAAACTTCATGGGTGAGGTGTGCCTCTCAAGCCATCTTGACTTGTCCAGGCTGTCCAAATACAAGTTCGGACCCAAGAAACCTCGTCTAGAGGAACCTGCTTTTAGGTCACCCCCGTTTTGTGCTCTCTGTCCATCTGGGGTTTGGGAGCGAGTGTGGATCTTTCTTTGCTTCCACGCATCTCAAACCGGCAGCCCTTGAAAGAAATCGAACAAGCGGATTGAGGTTAGTCCCTGTCCGAAGCCACAGTGTTTGCCCGTCGGCGTCTGGGCGTTCCACAAGTTGCGAGCCCCTTGTTGGATGGCCTTTCCCAGGAAAGCAAACAGCACCGTGTTTGAGGGCGCTCAATTTGAAGAACACACTCGATTGGGCGCCCGGCGCAAAACGTGAGCCAGAACTGAAGAATCACCTCAGCCGCGCGATGTTCGAAATAATCCTATGCACCAAGGGACCCTATAAGATTGGCTATCCTGCTGAAATTTGTGTAGGTGGTTAAACTGGAAATGTGTTGTAAACAAAAGTCGGGCATGTGCCATGATCCTGAAAAGGTATCTGGGAAAGCAATAATCTCTGCCCAAACCAGCTGAAAGGTAGCAGTTTTCCGGATTTCGCCATTCCCGCTCCCATCCTACAAAGTTTCCTTCAAGCTCAGAACAACGCGGCTCTCACTTGTTTCCGTTTACCCACCGCGAGGTCAATTCGGGGAAGTGTCTGGACCCTCACTTTGATTTGGTCACACTGCTCGCGCAAAAAGTAAGGTTTTGGCTAAGCAGGGCAACAGCCGTTGTTCAAATACAGGGTGGCCAAAATGAAGGCCTCTTTGTGGATTATGCTGCTGTCTTGCGCCGCCTTTGAAAGCGGATATGACAAAGGCCCTCTAATTGTGACAAGCCCCCCATGGTGAAATTGTTTACGGCCTAGCAAATCAAGTTGAATCTAACATTGTCCAATGTGAATATATTTATGCACGTGTTCCACCAAATGGGCTGATTCTTTATCCCTCACCACCTGTCTATTGGTCAATGGGTGAGCACACATAAGGCCAGAAACAAAATATGTCATTGAGTTCAATTATGGAATTCAACAGCTGGCTTTGAAGTCTTGGCTCAAGCTGTTACGACTCCTTCTAGGGCTCTTTATAAAGCTCCACAGACAGCTTCTTACGCGGCTCATTGCAAAGCTTCTTGTAAGGCTCCCTCTAAGGCTCCTTATAAGGCTCCTAGCAAAGCGCCGTACAAGGCCATCTGAATTTGAGCTCTTCCGTTTCAAATTAGAATTTAGATAGGATTTGGTTTCCAAGGAGGAGTTTAGTTCACGGGTGATCAGGCTTTAGATATAACTTCAGAAAGGAAAACATGAACTTCAATGCCTATCGTAAACTAGACCAAACATTCCTTTCCAGTTGATTGCAATTTGCAGTAAATGGACTTCGCTGAGCCCCCACGCAGGTTCTGGGTGTGTGTGTGAGCACCTATATAATTAAATATCTATATATATATATATATGTGCAGAGATACGTGCCCCACATACACATTGATCTACACATCCAGAAAGGGGCCAGTGCTGAGCCATGCAACAAATCTGACGCCTTCCTTTTCCTGGGCAAGTCGCAACTTGCTGTCCATGCTTTGGCTCTGAGGGACCGGCCAAAGGTATGCAGAACAAAAACCTCGGTTGCATGGTGCTGGTCTCAGGCAGCAAGAACTACCCTCCTCAATCCAACACGGGGTTCCGATTCCCAAAAGCTGAATCTGCAGAGCATGGCACTTTCAGCCGTACCAAAGTGCACCATCCCTAAAATTGAAACTAATTGGTATCTTTAAAGGAGGTTCCGTAGGTATCAGAGAAAGTGGCAACCTAAACCAACACTTTTCCGCAACCATGCAGCTCGAAAGAGACCCAACAAAGCGTACAATCGAAAGAGAAAGCCCCCTTTCTGACAATTCATCGATGTTGAGGGAGCCCTTTCGAAAGAAAGGGAAAGCTGAAACGCCACTGGAGGTTTCTGGCAGGACCAGTATCAGTTTGTGGCACCTCGCTCTGTGAGTTGTTGGTTTGGCAGAATTTGGGCTCTTCGGTCGTGGTTTCCGTTTGGCATGGGCCTCCAACCAAAGAAGCCCACCCCTTGTGGAAACACCCATTTGGGCGGCGCTCATGTTGACCAGTGAGAACCCTTCAACTTGCCTTCCGAGCTATGAACCCAGGCGTCTGGATGTGGAGAGGAGGGCCTCGCACCTCCACATGATTTCATGGTGCGATGGTTCTCACCCCGCCCCTCCACCCCGTCCAGCAAGATGGAAGAAATGGCTATGGGTCAAACCGTCAAAACCCCTTACCCCCAGTGAACATCCCAATCCCCACCTTTTACTAATCAATGGGTGGTGAATTCACCTACCAACCAAAATGGTATCCCAAAACGGTGTTGACCCACACCCAAACGGCTTTTGCGCACACGCGGAAACCCGGAAGTCCAGTTGCTCTCCCTTGGGGCTCCGTGCAGAATTCCCGGGTGCACATGCAACTCATCCGAGCCGTCCAGGTTCATGGTCACCCCCCCAAAGGCAGCCACCATCACGGAGTCGTACATGTCCACCTGAACTGCGCATGAGCTGCGCAGAAAAGAAACTCACAAGGATCCCAGATTCTGACGTGTATGTGCCTCTACAAGCTGGGCACTGTTGGGCACTTGAGAGGTAAGGTACCTTGGTGGGAGGGAACTCTATGACCACCATGAATATTACGTCGGTAAGGTCTGGGAGAATCTCCTTGAGAATGAACCTGCCAAAACATGGGTGCCACAATTTTCATGAATGGGGGTTGTTGGATAAACCCAGAAGCCCTGCAAAACTGGTCCCAAGACGAGGTCGAAACAACATGCCTTTGGCTGGTTCGAGAATGTGCTCCAATGCCAGTGCCCAGAACGCTGACTGTTGGATCTACCTCGCAAAGTCACACAGCATTGGATAAGACTGCCTGCCACTTGACCAGGCAGAGCATAACCCCGTACAAACATGCTGGGCTGTTCAAAGAAATACAAACCATAATTTCTGATGGGAAACTACAAAGGGAACCAACTCCTTTCGTGACGGGAGGGATCTTTCGCGTGACCTTCAGCCCAGAAAGTTTGGGGACACCCTAGATCATCACACCGACCCAAAGCATAGCCCGATAATTCAGCAGTGTTGGGCCGAACCCTTGCTTGAACATGTTTGCGCCACTACTGTAAACATCCTTTCGGTTTCACATTGAAGAAATTGTCGTTTCAACAACAATTGCCCAGCACTGCAACCGGCGTTTGGGACGCCGCAGAACTCGCGTTTTGTTGGGCGCCAGCGTTTTGCTCTCAGCGCCGTGCATTGAAGAACACATCCGCAGGCTCGTTGGCTAGCTCCTCGACCTTGGGTCGGTCGACTGGTTCCATCGCTTTAGGTCGCGTGGATCCGATTAAGCCACCAGGAAACCGAGAAACCGGGGATGTTGTGGGCTTCCAGATAGCTCAAGTCTTATCTGTAGGATTAACATGATGGTGTCCTTGGTTACCTATACAAGGAAGGGAGTCACGGGGTCTGTTGAACACCTCCCCACGGATTCTGCACTGAAGGATGGCATGTACCGACTCCGCAAGCGCCTTGGACAAACAAGAGATCCACACCATCCACAAGTCAATGAGGAGCGAGGCCTGGGAGGAGGTGTTTGGCTTAGCAGCGAAGGATGGTGAAAGTGCCCAGCAGTGGAGCACCCGCCTCTGTGCGTGTCTTTGACCTCTGCGAGAGGCAGGGCAAGGTTCCGCGGCGTTTCCCGGCGAGGGCCTACTCTTCACTGCGCCGGAGAAGCGAAGACTCAAGGCAACCAGCCGACTTCAAGGCCACCTCGGAGTCCAGATGGCGAATCTCCAGACTGGCCGAGGACTTCGGTGACCTCGATGGCAGTCAGCCAGCGTGGAAAACGCAATGAGATCAGCAAGATACAAGCTGCAGCACTTCCAGGGTGGAGAGCAAGGAGTTGAAGAGGCGGACGTAGCGCCGTGCTACAAAAGCACTGGCCACTGGGCCATGGAATGCCGCTCCATGATCAGCAAGACGCACAAGCCGGGCTCTTTCTCTCCGACCTCAACAGGCGTTGGCCCATGGGGCCTAGCAACTATGCGGAGATCTCTGAGCCGGAGATGTCCTTTGTGGGATTTCCAGTTATGGGCATCACCGATGGTCTGTGTTTGTGTGATGACATGCGTTCCATTTCTCCAGCTTCCAAGGTAGGTGATAAGCGTTGATCTTGCCACCGCCCGTAGGTCAGGTAGCCCTGGATCTCGAGGGGCGAAGTGGCTTCAGTCGCCAACTCGGAGCTGAGACCTCGGTGATTGGCTTCGGAGGAGGCACTCGGCATCTCGCTTCCACGAGGCGTGTCTTGGAGGCTGTCACAGCGGCAAGATTGACGCGGCCTCGAAGCGCTCTTTGAGAATGACTCTCCGACATGAGACCCTCCTGACGCAGGCTCACAAGGGTTTTTAGCGTACCAAGACATGCACGTGACTGAAGGGAACGTGCTGTGCTCAGCACGAAAGGCACATTCCTAGTTCTTTTTGGCAAGCGTGGAGGCTTCCGAGACTTGATGCTCTACGGCCCCTCAGCTCGGGTGAAATACTTTCAGGGCCAGGGCTGCGGCTCAGGCCGGCGAAACCAAGCTCCCGGGCTCTTCTGTGTCCGCATCTTTAAGAAGTGAGAGTAGACCTTTTAGAAGAGAGGCGTCAATCGTGAAGCCTCCGCTTGTGCAGGCTTGTCAGTGGATCGGATGCTGCGGACCTTTGCGCCCGAGCAGAAGAGCTGTGATGGCGTAGCTCGACAGTAAGCTAAATCCCCTTCTAAAGGGGCACCACTGGAGCAAGGAACTTGTAGATGTGAAAGAGCAACCTGCTCCAAATACATGGAATCACTGGGAAGGAAACACTGGGAGGGGTGGTGCAGCCGCCCAAACTGCGCTTTGGTGCTTTGGCGCCGCGCGGTCTGCACCCGCGCCAGGCCGTTCCGGTCGTGCTTCGTGACCTTCCGGCGTTGCGAGAGGCAGGATGCACAAGAGGGCTACCTCAGCCAACGCTAGGCACTTCGCCACTAGTCAGAGAAACCAAGCATAGGAATAGGGACTTCTAGGCGAACTTCCTGTAGCCGGCTTCTTCAAACTTTATAAACATAGGGAATTGTTACCTCTAGGTCTTTCACATGATGGTTTCCACTAGCTCAGCTACTAGGAAAAGAAAGCGCTGGATCAGCTTTGGCCTCGAAGCAAACACCGCAAGCTCCTTGCCTGATAAAGGTCTCTTGTTCTGTGGATGGGTTTCATCCATATCAATTGTTGCAGGACTTTGCCCATCATTCTGTTTGAGTTGTTGAGTGAATCTTAAAATGCAAAAACGTGTCCCATGGGCACTCTCCCTCAGGGTATGCCTCTTGTTCTGTGGATGGGTTTCATCCATATCAATTGTTGCAGGACTTTGCCCATCATTCTGTTTGAGTTGTTGAGTGAATCTTAAAATGCAAAAACGTGTCCCATGGGCACTCTCCCTCAGGGTATGCCTTTTGGCCACTCCTTCAATTCCGGGCCTCTGAAGAACATGGACCTGCATCGGCTTCCCTGTGCCTCCCTTCAAGAAATCCCAGGATACCATAAACTCGCTTCTGTTTGTGGACAAAACAAATCAAACCTTCTGGGTGCAATTCAAATGTTGCGACCCCAAAAAGCTGCAAGAAAGTTCAGGAACCCACAAAGTGAACCAAGCAAATTCGATTGTCCACTTTGACACCAACAAAAACTCAAAGCGAGATGTGGACCTGGCACCTGGATGGGTGGAAAGAACTTGGTTCTTGCACGCACGGGTGTCACCCCTCTGCCAGGGAACATGCTGCTGCGATCCAATTTGAGCATGCCCGCAACCACCCTATGGTCCTTCAAGCCGGCGGAAACACACACATATATATATATATATATGTACTATAATATATATATATGCATTGTGTATGTATGTATCTTGCAAACGTAAACACGCTGGGCCCCCAAAACCTGTGGGAGTCGAAACTTTAAAGGGGCCTATCTGCAAAAAGCTGGAACTGCAAAAAACCGGCGTGTCGAACAAAGCCCAGCGGTTGACACCTTCGGCCTGCCTTTGGGCTCCAGCCATCGTCCGAGTCCGACTCCTGCGTTTTCGATTGCAGTTCGGCGCTTTCGCACTGGGTTTCGATTGGCCTTTTGGTTCCCTGTGCCTGGGTGTCCATGCCCGAAGCCCTGTATTTAACATCACGAGAAAGCTACTTTGCAAAGACGCAAACAAGCCCCGGATCGCTGGCAAAGGGCCGAAGGGCTCTTTTGCATCGGGATGTGAGACCTTCCCAATGACTTTGCTGCTTCAGGGGCCTTCCGAAGACCAAGCAAGGCCTCGACAGTCCGCTTCCAGATTGGACAAAAAGGAGAACTCCGAAACTTTGATCTGGGTGAGATACACACTTCGGGTAAGGAGAACCCTTTCCGGGGAGCTGAACACCCCATGTCTACGCAAGAACTCCCCGAACAACAGGATCGCCATCCTAAGGTTTGGGTTGGGAACCCTTGTAAATCTAACTGTGCTTCTGGACCTTGAGTCACAATTCATAGCCACAACCATGCAAAGAAATCAAAAGGAGGTTGCAGCCCCTAATCACCTTCAACCATGGCTTTGATTGTGGCTTAAAAGGAACGGCTCAACTTGCAACCAGTTCGTCCTCGACCTCTTGCAGGAAGCCATGAAGCCTCAGAAGCTGTGAAATTGATCCGGCAAACAGCTGGTTGAAACATTCATGCCCGTGTCTGGAGGGTGATTGGAAACATCTGTTTTGCTGGTTTGCTACTCTCTTCAGGATGCTTAAAAACTATGGGCCAATCGGCACTTGCTTGAACATGTCAAACCATTGGGACATCAAGTTGGGTTCCCTTTCCCGGGTAAACTCGTCCCGCACCTTCACTATTCATAACGTTTCCCGTCAAAGCCCCGACAAACAGGGTTACTTGGCCCGCATCTCGGTACACAGAATCCTATTTCAGATGTTGTTTTCTATTAAGCCTGCCCCTAAATGTAAAAACTTGTTTTGGAGCTATTAGAGCCTACCCCAGAAGTTGTATCTAACCTGCTTGACCAGACATCCTGCCTTTGTGGTCGTTGAACCTCGTTGGAAAACCCAACAGGCTTGCATTTCCCGGCTGCAACCATTCCGAGGGTTTAAGGCCGTTTGTGCTCTTTGGAGTGACACTTTTTCAGCTTCATGTCATGGCCGACTCTGGCCGACGCGTTTTCCAACAGTTTGGCAAATACCAAGAAACATTAAACACAAACAAACAAAAGCGAGCAGACGGGCAAATATCCGTACCTACTGGTGGAGACTATCCATTGCAAAGCCTCTGCTCGAGGTTTAACGAGAACCCAGGAATCCCCAAGGGACCGGACCACTCTCACAATGTTTCGTCCAACCTATGAAAGAACTGGGAAAGCAAATGAGTCGACCTCGGAAAGGCGTCAATACTATTTGGGTACAGAGAGCTCACCGGTAAAGTGGTGCAAACGGATTTCGTGCACGAGTTCACCAGCCCAGGGTTCCGAACCAAAAAGGGCCTTTGCCATGCCAACCAAAGCTGTTGGGTCCAACAAGCCGAAGTCGGCAGCCAAGCTTCACAAAAAGCCGTGCCGGCCCTTTGATGTGGCCATGGCTCAAAATCCAAATCGGTTAGCCCCAGTGAAAATCCCAATCCAGGCAATAAAACAGGTTCTAAAATCGGTGGTGCACCTACCCCAAAATGGTACCATTGGTTTTGACCCATGAATTCCCCTCGAATTGTCCAGCTTCCCCGTTCGAAAAGGACCCTTCCCTTTGGCCAATCTGGGCTTCCCGGCTCTTGTGTCTCTGTGGAGGCGCTTAACTGCTGCGAGCGATTCCCGGGGTGGAGGAATCGCATCACCTCTCGTGGCTGAGGGCTGCGCAACCAATTTTCGACCCCACAGATCGGTCCCTGGTAAAGGGAAACCACGGGGAACGAAGGGAAACCCCAGGAAAACACGCACAACGAAGGGAAACCAAAAAACACAAAGGTGGTAGACTCTGGTAGATTATCAACATGTTGCCTGATCTGTATTATATTGAGGCTCGCAACATCCCCGGCCCACTGTTGATGGCTCTTGATTTGGAAGGTCCTGAACAATACAGACTACAACATTAGTGTTATATCACTGTAGGATTCCCATGGCTACGTTGTTGCTATCAAGAGCCTTGGCTTGGTATCACTGGAACATTGAATCAATGATTCAGCCCGTCCTTCTTTCTTGCCGGCCTGAGACTCATGGTTTAATCGGTCCAATCGCCTCATCTCCTCCCGTTTGAGATCCCCAGGCCCCAGGCTCTGATCCAATGGACTGGCCAGTTCCACGGCTTCCCCTTCACTCGAAAAGGCTTTGATGAGGCAAAGCCCTGCAACCGCGCCTGGCCTCTGGCCTCCCTTTTTTCAATTGCGGGACCACTCAAACGGATGGTTTACTTTTGGTTTCCCTTCACACACCAACAAGGGCATCCAAAGAAGCACATACCCAAAGAAGCAACCAAGTTGCACATCTGAGCGCACGGCTGCAGGACGGGCAAATGGCCCGATGGGAGAAGCGCAAACACTGGACGAAAGGCACAAATGTTGGAAGAAAGACGGACAAAAACGGGAAGCGCAAACCAGGAGTCCTAAGATGGGACATGGAAAGAAACCGATCGTGGAACCTGGATTAAACACGGCAACGCCAAGCTAGGGCAGCAAGAGATGTTGATACCACAAGCAGTTTGTGATCCACACTTCGTTGGAATTCGACTGTTGCCAAGGCCTTAGTGGTTCTATACCTCGGGAACTACAAAAGCGGTTATGTCCTTTTCTCCCGTTTGATTCCACCTGATATATGCCAGAAGCGTCTTTCCAAAGTGGCAAACTACAATGTATGAATGTCAATGGCTGTTTTCGCAAATCGCGGGAGTGTTCATGGGACAACATGTGCAGACTAAATGTCTGCAGTGGGACAAATCCTGCACGTAGTCACAAGGTCCACTGAGCTAAATTCACGAAAGAAGCCTTCATGAGTGGAATCGCTCGCTTTACTTTGAGCTCGCCGTGCCAACTGTCCATGCTTTATGAACACCCATTCCCCGGAGCCTTGTCCGAAAATGGCCGAAACCTAACATGTCTGGATTCTCCAGAGAACACTGGGGACAATGCTGGTGGGATCAACCTCGGCCAATGACCCTGTCGCAAGGGTAAAAAGTTGGTGTCTGGAAAGGAAAACAAAGGCACACCTTCTTCCAATTGTTTGGTCATCTTGATGTTCAGTTCATCCTACAGAAATATAAAGCTCCATGCTAGGACACCAACGCGGATGTTGCCTTGACGGCAGCTGGAGCCAGCGGCAAGAACAACAAACTCAGCACATTCAGTACCTCCACGGAACCCCATTGGGATTGACCACCTTCAGAGCGCACCCACCCAACCAGAAAAAATGACGGGTGCCACCAAACTGGCTGAACCCTAGGTTTGCATTCCATCATTCCAAACCCGCTGCATTTACTCTAAACAGTGCTGCTTCCAGCTAAAATGTCCAAGCCCTACGATGGCAAAACACCGTGCTCTTTGCGGCCCCCACCCCAGATGAACAAAACCAAATCATCATATGAATCAACACCATGGCTGGAATCTGTGAAGACTGTGATTCCTTGAAGTCGTGGCCATTGCCAACACAAGTAGCAACGAAACACGCTGCATCACAAGTAACCCACAGTGACACACACACATACCCACGAACAAGCAAATCTTGTCGTGTGCGGCCAGGCTTGAAAGTTGAAAGGTTCAACAAGACTATACAAGGCATCCACTGCCGGGACTGGTCTTTGTCGTTTTGGGCGGCACACAAACCTGTCCAAAAGCGGCGACAGGCGGGCCCAAACCAGCAAGGGTCACAAGATTGCATGTGTCACCCGTCACACGCGGAACATGTAATTCGCAGAGCTCAAACAACAAGGAACGTCCCTGAAACCAAAATAATAACCAAGACCACATACTTCAGGCATCCTGGTGACATACACTCTTTATCAGCGAGCTCGCGACAGCAAATGTGTTGGGGTTGTCAAGCCTATGGTCCCCAATCGGCACTCCTGGAAACAGGCGAAGAAAACCATCACTGTGACCTTTTGAGCCACTCAAACCTTGCTACCCAAACCGATGTAAGAGATGAAGGGCGGTCGCATGTATTTGTGGTCAGGACTGTACCCCGCTAAGGTTGATCTGCCGGTTGCATTATAAACAAAACAACATTAAGTTTGGAGTTCGGTCTTATTGAACATACACAGAATGCACTGTCTTGTCCTTTTAGCCTCCGCTGGCATGCAACCGGCTCTATCCTAGGCCTCCGCTAGCAGCCTAAATCCCTCCGCCCAACAAACAACCAAAATAGCCCCAACCACCCGTATCCCCCAGACATGCCACTTGCCCCTAAGGAACCGTTTCAGGGTCCAGAATGCACGTGACGTCAACCCCTAGACGCTCTGGACATTCGCCTCCGCAGTGACAATGGCCTGGGGGAAAACCCGCGGCGGAAGAAGTCCATGGATTTACGGGTTCACCAGCATAGATTGTATTGGTGCGACTGGATGTTGCTGGATACATCGGCCGGTAGATGCGTTCATGGCTGATTTGTTCAAGGCTTCGACTGGGAAGTGACTGGAACAGCACTTGTATCCAGAACCCAACACATCTCACAGGTCAGACAAAGGGTACAGATGCGAATAAAGAACATATACATACGTGCATGCGTGCGTGTGTAGATATTTATATACATACACACATGTGCGGCACAAACTGCAGGTCAAAGGCATGTCCGTAAATACTACAGCTTCTGCAGGTTTTTCTGTGCTTCCAGCTTGTTGTGTCTACTTTAAGCGAAGGCGCCGCCCAATAGAATGAACACACCATTTCATCCAACATTGGAACCCTCAAAGGTAACGAATGGATTTGTTCAAAGCTGCTATGGCGAGCCCCAAAACGGGTCCCTTCTACCTGTGGTTCCCTCTCAAAGAAGCAACCCCGAGCACGAACTGCCAAGTATCGGCCTGGAGGTGTATCAGGCCCTTCCATGTTCATCGTCTATATTGTTGGCCATAACAAAGCAGAAGACAAGGCAAACGTAGGCAAAAATTGGCACAACCAGCTTTCACCTAGGGTGTCTGGAAACTAATGGGTGTGTGTCAACATAGGGGCATCATCAAAATTGTGGTTTTTGCTTAGGTCTCCCTTGAGATCAAGGTGAACAGGGGTACTCTCCAACAAACACACATATATATATATAAATATATCTACATATACCGAAATGACGTTTAGTCATCCATGTTAAGACTCGCCGATGGCAAAGGGTCATCCATAACGTGTGGGTGGGGATCATCCCCACTAAACCCGTGAAAAGCCTGGCGTGGGGTTCGAACTTGGCGTTAGGTATCTCTTAGAGTAGGGAACCCTCTGATGCCTGGTTTTTGCAGGATGCTCATTATGTGGGAGGTGCTGGTTCCTGGGTGACAAGCCTTGCAATGCTTATCTGAATGCCTGCAGGGTTCATGACCACCCCAACCATGGCCGACCAATCAGATATTTTGACCATGTTACATTCTTACTGACTTTGTTGCACCCATGACCATGGTTGATCAGTAGGGGTGAGTCCCATTTGAGTTCATCCGGGTCACTTTTGGGAGAAGCACCCCCAATTAAAAATGTGAAAGCTATATCTATCAGTGATGAAAACAAATCACAAAACATGAGAACACCAAGAACTAACCGGTGGCAGTGTGTATGAACTTTAAGTAGTGGTTGGATGGTGCTTGTTTTTCTTCGGACTTCCCCTTGAGGGCTGTGCCTTAGGGCGGTACTATGAGGGCATCAAAAGTAGTTGGAATGATTGTATGTAGTAGGGGTACCCAAAGCCGAAGCTCGGCAACCCGACAAGGGCCCACCCAAACAAAACACACATCCTCAGCCTGCTAGTGGCCATGAGGGGTCCAAACGGAACATGTCTGTCAACAACTCAAAACAATTAGCTCACTCCTTGAGTCGGTTGGCCAAACAAAGTCCAAATGTTTGCTTACCAGGATCTTCCAAAGAGCATGAACTCCGGCAACTCGGGCAGATGTCCGGCCTGCTTGTGCAAAAAGCTGCGCTCCGCCAGCATGTAGGGCCGCGTCTCTCGGAAGCTGAAAGGCTCCTAAGGCGTCCCTTGAGGCTTGCACATTCAAACCGAAACCGCGTATCTGTTTGAACATCCCCCGAAAATTGATGAGTTGCAACTCGTGGTTTCCCTTGAGGCCAATCTAAAACGGGCACCCTCAACAACACACAATGGGTCCAGGACACTGGCTTTGCCTACCGACCCTTCGGCCTACTTTTAACCAAGCGGATAGTTGTAAGTAGGTTATAGCTGATGGCTACAACCCACCGTAGGGCAGAATCAACACAAAGGGCGATCACCGTCGTCCTAGCAAGTTGGAGTGATGCAACTGTGACACAAGCACTGAAGCATGCAAACGAAGGGCCGGGAAACAAAGGGTGATCACCTTTAGGGGCCTGGACCGAAAAAGTAAGGGTCCAGCTTTCCGCAAGTGGTGTATTTACCTTTAAATCAGAAACGTGAGGGCAGAATTTGCCTTTACACATATTTCTTTGGGACATATCAAGGATACGAAGGATTCTCTTCCAGTGAGTTGTTTCCCACTCTTTCTTTTGTGGGGGGAAGGGGTCTCAGAATCTGCAAACGGGCTGTTGGTCACGAGGCAACCCATGCCCGCGCAAGGCGCAGGCCGTGGCGAAGGATGTTTCAGCCACCAGTTTGTGTGAATTATGATGATAGAATTTGCAAAGTTTTGTCCTTGGCTCGAAACCCTCAAGCAACCCCAAGCAATGGCTCCAATATACTGTAATATGGGTGCCTAGAACACGGTTGTTGTTTCATTCGCGGGGGGAGATGATCGGTGCAAGCAAGCGGAATTGGGCGCGGCCCCCGCTTGCCAAGCATGATATGTACGCCTGAAGGCGCAAGTTGCATTGCCTGATGCCTCTGTTACATGCAACAGGGACCTTTTGAGTGTGATACCTGGCAGTCACCGCAGAGTCATTTGCTGTTCCAATGCTTATATTTTCGATGCAAATGCTCCGGGTGCATGTGTGCAATTGCGTCACTTCATTAAACCAGATTCATGTTGCTCTTATCTCATGGCAGAAAGCTCTAGCCTAGCTTCAGCTGAACTAGCCTGTCGCCTGCCCAGATCCATCCGGAGCCAACAGAAACTGGGCGTTTGCAAGAGTGGTCCCGACCACAAGGTACGGCTGCTCGTCTTCTTTCCAAAAGTTTGCCTCCCCTGTAAAACTAGGGCAACTTGCAAGGCATGCCATCTCCTCAACTCAAGATCCCAACATATCAGGTTTGTATTCAGAGCCGACTCGCACGGGGAAGCCTTGCAGCCTGACTAGTGCCGGACCATTGGCCATTCACCAATAACTTACCTTGCGAGTTGGCAAAGCAAATCATTGAAAAGCCAGCTCCCAGCACAAAGCGTCGAGGGCTCCTCTCGCTCTTTGGCGAAGTTCGCTTGCACCCTGTCCCCGTCAATGCGGCCTGGCAATGAGTCAAGCCAATGAATTAAGGGGTCCATTTGTTGAAACAACAGCGCTTGGTTCCGTAGCGAGTTGGAGAGTTGTTGGTTACTTGTACAATGAGGTTGCATATGTATATTACATATGATAAGATGCGTATAGTTCTTTGTTCCAACACAAGACTGGGTTCAAGAGGGGTTCGCAGTGAACATCATTTGGGATCACGACCCATCTACTTTGGACTCTGTACAATGGATGAATTCGAAGTTGTAATGGAACTTTCGTTTTAATGTCCTAGGGCGCTCGTTGCTGTTGTGGTAACTCCTCAGTGAATCCAAACCTCTAATGTGTTGCTGACATAATGAGAATCCTGAGGATGGTGCCACCAATGTCACACGTTCTACAAAGTAGTAGTAGCTCGTAAGACCGGAATGGCTATATACAGCAGCCCCACTCGTCATCGTCCACCTCCTATCTAAAACCTGCGCAGGGAATAGCGAAGCATGCCGGAAGCAGGCGATACGTGTCCTTGCAGTCGTTGCAGTGCTACTTGAAGCTGGCGTGTGTGCGCAGGCACTCGCAAAGCTAGGTGGGTGGTGCATGTCGGCCATTGCCATCTTGTTTGCATGCCGGCCTGGCCATGGGTTGTGGTTTCCATTGAGGTGCTGGCAACACATCCGCTCATTCAAGTGGAGTTTCAGAGCGCGGCACTGGCTCACAGAGGTTCTGCTTTGGTAGTTTACTATATTTGCAGGGCGCGGGTTCCTGTGGTGGACATCATTTACACAGGAATTAATGTCCACCCACCATTTTGTTGGGGTAGTTCCCTGATAAATTCACAGCCATACTTGGTGCCAAGAGGGGCAGGGCGGGCGGGTCATGCTTGCCAACTCCTCAGTTAGCCAGTCATCAAGGCAACTGTGGTTCCCTTCTAGTCGGCGAATGGAGAAGCCGAAAGATTGATTTGAAATGTTGGTACAAAAGTCAAATCATTTGGGTATGTTCTAGAAATAGGGATCGCCCTTTCAACGGTGTTTGCAGGGAAACAAACAACAATTGTCAAGGGTCCACCTACTTCTGGAGACACTCGCAGGCATTACAAAGAGGGACCCCCGTGAATCACAATAATCCAGAAACCTGAACGCGGAAATCCCAAGTAAGGAACCAGCGCTTCTGTTTTCGGGGTGTTTACATTTCACCCTGTGACTATCTTCGGATATCACTGGCAATGGTCCAATATAGGGTTTTATCTGGATATACATAACTTCCCATTGCTGTCCCCGAGTGGAATCAAACATCTTGTTTAGCCCGTGCCATTAACTCACAAAAAGAACCTGAGCAGGGAAGCTACCTGGTAAGTGGCTTCTGGCTTTTAATCTTGCCATTTCGTCATGTTCCTTCAAGCGGAGTATCTCGAGACCTGGAGCAAGGAAGGACCTTCGAGCTGACAAATCAAAGATTCCAGCTGCTGGTTTACTCCAAAGACCTTGGTATAAGGGAAACTTGGAAAAAGGAGGCCACTGGAACCCTAAAAAATGTTCGACCCTTGGGTAGTGGATAGTGGGCTTTTTTTGAGCAACGACCAGGGGAGCAATCCTAATTATTCCCTTTTCAAGTGCACTCAAGGAATCTAAAGGATCCCCAGAGACGCAGACTTCTTCTGCTGCTCCGACTGGAGTATTCACTTCAGAAAACGCACCGGCCAGACCAAAGGCTCCAATAATCGACCACTCGAAACCGCTCCGAACGGCTCTGAAACCGGTGAGCGGCACCACGGCAATGTTTCTCGAAGCCGTTCAAAGCTCTCACTGCGTCCTGCGGATCAGAGCTGCAGAAGCCCAACAGCCAGCGTGACAGCTATTCGCGGCTTCGAAGCATCAAACTTCCAGATCTACATCCGTGTTTGACCCATACTGTTGACCCCACAATACATCAATCAACCAGTTTGTTGACAGAGGGGTGCTCACAGGGATGTAGTTTTACAGCTCCAATGCTTGCAACACATTGTGAACACCATGCTTCCTTTGATCATGCTTCCATCACAAATCACATTTTCCGCCAGGGTGGTGGGGGGTGTTCCCCTCCAAAAGTGGCCTGATTCCCCACTCCCAGGGACACGCCTCCTATTAACAAATTGGCGTTGATGAATATGGAGGCAACATTAAACCAAACGTCTTGCATCTTTGAACTCAGGGCTGCGCAGCCTTACACACGCCCCCGAGGGCGGCTTGAGGCTTGTGGCATTCAATCGACAAATGGGAGCGTTGCGCATGCAACTGCCAAGTGAGCACTGACTGGCCGCACCATGGAAGGGATATATAATGGAAGGCCGTCCAGTAGTATCTTTAGATATATTATGCGCATGCACACACACACATATTGTATGTGCACATGTGCATATGGGGTTTTGTATATATATATATATATGTGCATATTAATGATGCCTGTAGACCGAACTCGGCCGTGTCGACGTGGGCAATTGTTTGTATTCAAGCCAACATGACACTTGCAAGGCCTTGCAATCATATTGAAGTTTACCGGACCTGCCATACCGCAGCTGGCAGGCAAAACGGGCAACTCAGTTCTGAAATTATTTGCACGCTCAAATCAGGGGTTCGCGCTGCTCAAATGTGCCTCCTGCAAGTGCGGCGAGCGCCCCGCATCTGTGAGTAGCTTGACTTTGTAATGTTTGATTGCAGGCTTGGACCCACATCCAGTCTGGTTTGATCGTCCACTCTTTCCACGAGGTGGATATGCAAGAAGCACGATTCGCAGAAAAAGGAAGAAAAACATCACATTACAAAAATTAGTTGCTCTAAAACCAGTGGGATGATCAGAAGCATAAAAATACTTTGCGTAATTTGTGGGGTGAACATATACTATGCCCTCAAACAGGATGAGAGTGAATTCGAGAACCCCCGGCTTGTTGTCTTTCTTTTTTTTGCTCGTCCCCCATGTGGCGGCAATTGGATTGGATACTTTGAGGCTCCTGTAGGTCAAACAAAAGCGCAACGAGCAAGTTCTCAGTCTCTGACTTCCCGGGTCAAAGCAAGTCTTCCCTTGTTGCCGTGCACAGGATTGATCGTCCCAACAAAAATACGAAGTCCGAAACGGAACCTAGGTCCTCCAGTAGAGGGGTTAGAATAAGGGTACCCTTTCTTCTGCAGTCTATTTTAGTAGGGGAGCTCTTCCCCAAAAAAGTTGGTAAAAGGGCACTACTGGGGGACTTAGCTAAACCAAACATTTTCTGCAAGTGATCATCTTTGAGGGAAGCAGCTCGGAGCTATTTCTTCGGCGGCTCGCCTTCTGGATCATATCCCGGTCCTCCACCGAGTGGAACTGCACAAAGGCGAAGCCCCGCCGCGAGAAGTGCCGCACATCCTGCCACTTGTTTGGCCTGGAGGACCTTGGAAACAAGCCAAACGTAGAGGAAGTCCTCCGCAGATTGACATGGAACCCCGACAAGCTGCTCATCTTTGAGAGGAATCCCAAGATTGCTGGAAACAAACGAAATGTAGACCAAGACGAGCACCGGGCAGGAGTCCGAGAAGAGGGAACTGTCCAACGCTTGGTGTCGAAAAGGGGAAAGTAACATGGGCTAGCGCCCAAAGGTCCGAAATGTCAGCGGGAGATGCTTCCTGAGGGCCGAACCAAGTGGATGGATCAGCTGATCCACATCGATCGGCAGCTGATCAACCAATGCTCAACCCTGGTGCCGATTGATCAGAAGGCCTCCAACATGGGGGAAACGTGTGGGAAGCTTCAGCCCCATTAGGCGAGGCCCCGGAAAGCGGACTCCACAAAAGCCACAACCACCGACTTCGCCACTTGGAGCCCCTCCCCGCCTTTTATGCCGGTTCTCACATTTTGAGACACACCGCCTCCAAAAGCTCAGGGGGATATCCATGCAAAAAGGATCGGCATCTTCCTTTCGTTGCTGTTTGTTATTGTGTTTTGGTGTTACGGGACCCCCTCAAAAAAACAAAAGCAAGAAACAAAACAAGGGCGCCGCGGGCTCCCTCCATGTTCAACTGAAGCCATTTTCCGCGCGAAGCCTTGATGGTTGCATACGGCATGAAGGCCGCTTTCACCGTCTCCTCGCGTGGTCAGTCGAACAGGGCGCTGCGGATGGACAAACTCTGTGAATGAATGGGTTACTCTTGGAGGGCTCCCGTTAAACCACAATTTGGTGATTCTGCAAAGTTTACACGAACTCCGCTCCTTTTACTTCTGCAACCGAATTAGCGGGTTAGCGACCCTCTCTAATGTAGCACGCTGCAACGTAGGCTTGGGCTTTGGCCTTGGCTGCAGAAAGCCTTGGCTGCAGAAAGCCGAAAGTCCCCGGCCCAAGCAATTTGTGGTCTGACATTCGGGCCGTTGGACAGGGAATATATGGTCATAGGCCATAGGTTTCATTTGCCAACAGCAACTGCTGGCTGCTGGCTTCAGGGGCTGCGAATCACTACAGCGAAGCAAAAGAACACCCGTCCTCGCGGGTGGAGGGCTGGATGCCCTTGATGATGAGAGTCACCTCTCTCGCGAGTGGAGGGTGTCCCCTTTTTTCCCCAGCAGCTATGGGGTCTTAGCCAATCCGGAGGTTCCTCTGTTGGGCTGCCGACGTATTGCTTAGCTAGTTTTGGCAAAGACTAAGGGGCATAGGTAGGTTGACCTTAAGCCCACTGCATCTTATTGTGTTGTAACTTTACAAGGTTAGCTAGGCAAGTGGCAAACCACAAATCTTGTATGGGTTCCGAAACTGCAGTGTCCCGCGTGGCGGTTGAGGAGTTGCCACTCGTCGCCCTACGGGTCCAGAGGTCCACGATCCGGGCCATGTCGGGAAGCCCTCCCCCCATTCTTCCAGGACAAGTAGGGAGCTGAGGCGGGGGAGATGTCGACCTTCCTTGCGCTGTACCTGCAAATTACCCTCATGAATCCAAAACCGGAAGCAGATTCCGCTCCGAAAGGGGGCTTCCACCTCCTGCGAAGCAAAACAACACTTCTGTTCAGGTTGCTGTTTGGTCCAACCGATTTCACAGTTTTACCAAGTTTGCAAATGGCACAAGTTTTCCTTACTAAGCCGATAGTTCAACTAGGGCCCCTTTTACGGCCCAAGGCCTGACAGGGTCCAAATGTTGGTGAACCTTTAGAAAACGCCATGGATGTCCAGTGTTGAAATTCCATGAGGTATTTCCTCTTCTTGGACACTTTTTTGCAGGGGGCTTCCTCTGTGGAGTGCCCATGACACTGGACACTTTTCTCTGAGAAAGTCAAACTGATCCCCTCCAAAAGTCACTTAACAAGTGGAGAGGTATCCTTGTTTTCGAGGGAATTCTTCGGTGGACATTTTACAGGCTTAGTTTAGCCAGCAAAATCTGGGGAGAACTCAGGCTTCGGCACTGGGCTCGTCCCGGTCCACTCGCACGGGGCTGGGGCTTCGGCCTTGAATTGGGCACCAAGAAAAGATACTTGCATGTTCAAACTCATGGGAATAGGGGTCACTGGATTTCTCCTACAGTTGCCATGTGCTGGTAAGTTCCCACAACATTGCCACTATTGGAGGTCCAAAAGCGGGACCCATGGGTAGTTTAGGAGGGGTGTCCCATTTGGGCGAGGGGATCATCATTTTTTGAGAGGAAACACTCCTATTAATCTGCCAGGAGCAATTCTCGGGCGTCATTACTTGGTGCGCACCATGGTTACAAGTGAGGTAATGTGGATCAGTTCCCTTCTAAACAGGGATATTGCCTATTTGCTAAGTGGGTTGAACATCCAAGTACCTCCAGAGACCAACTCCTCTGAAAAACAAAACACTTCCGCAAAGTGTCGCGTTGAGCCAGGAGTTACCAATTCTGGGAAATATGACAGGTCAAAAAGTTGGAGTATACAACAGCGTGCCGAATAACCAAGGTCCACAAGAAACGCAACCAAAGTGGGTGGCCTTGACATATGACATGACGTGGAAACAGTGATGATTGGAGAGATCTATTGGTATGATTTGTTTGAGGGTACCCTTTTTGGTGTTGTTCTAACGGTGAAGACACTGTTAACCTTTGCTCAGGTTCCCGTATTTTGAGACGAACCCACATGTCTTGCCGCCCCAACCTTTTTCATGACTATCCCTCACCCATTGGAATTCGGGAAATTCCTGGGAACGAATCTTTCATCTCCCTGTTCTGCGAGCTCACAAGATAACTACAAGCCCTTGTTACACTCCAGTGAGTTGCCGCGAGACATGTAGATTGCCAGTCATTTGGGCCGTTTTAAAGCAACCAACCAGAGGGTCTAACATCTGTATCACCCCGAAGCTATGCGAAGCATCTGTCATCAGCGTGATTAGAAATCCGCGCAACAAATGTCTAAGTCCTTTCCAGCTTTGTGCTTTTGCAAATTTGGGCACAACGTGTGTCCATTGAGGTCACACATGTCCACACAACAACCCCGCCCCGGGAAACAAGCTAATTACGTTCATGGTTGTGTACCAAAAAGACTGCTCCATGATAATACCAAAGTGGACTTTCCATGCCCACGACAATGTCGCTCTTTTGAATGGGATTCCCTTTTGAGGGATGCTAATGGTAAAATGGTTCAGGAAGTCGGTTCCTTCGGAACTGTAGACTGCTGGGTGACAAGTGACCCATACTATGTTGCTTCCAAGGCAAACTACCAGAAAATGATAGCTCCGGTGAGCAGAACTCTGGTCGGATGCCCCTACTTCTAGATGACAGCTTGAGGTGCGTAGCTTTCAGGTGTTTGTGCTAGCCCCGTTCAACCGCGAACACTCTAACTCAACTTGGGCACTTCGTTCGGGTATGATTTTGAACTGGGCATCCTTTGGTGAACATTCATATGTCTGTCCATGTCAGTTCCGACCCCTGTATGCGGGGTGGTGTCCAACAAATCAAATTCATAGTCATTTGAACTGGTGTTCAAAGGCAAGGACAACTCTGGTGCAGGCAAGCTGTTCCATCAATCGCCAATATTGTGTAGGACAACTTCTGGGAGAGCTTGATAACGAGTCTTGTCAGGACGCTTATGAGGAGCCTTCCAAGGGGGCTCACATTCCCATCCGGGGCATGAGCTCGGCTCCTTTGGCACGTGCTTGTACCTTGCTGCGATGCCACTGCTGACCGACAGCCCCTTGGCTCAAGGTGTGACACGCTCACAACCCTTCAAAGGATAGACCTGATACACATGGAACCCAGGAGACTCGTCTTTTCTTGAGCGACCTCCGTTTTGGGCTCCATGCAGCAGAGTGTCAAATGTGAGTAAAAAGAAAATCCACCCCAGCAATAATGTGAGATGCCTTCCCGTGTTCACTTCTATGATCCCGGAACAGATCCAACATCCCACAAAGGACACACAGGAAATCACAACTCTCCGCCAAAAACAAAGCATCATATCACCACCATGGCAAATCTGGCTATGGAGCACAACATTGTCCTGTTGGCTCAGTCAACATTGAAGGGCCAAACTCAGGTCACGTTCCTTGTGTGGATTCGTGATTGGACGACCAAAGCCTCGATAGTTCTACCAGGCAGGGCAGTTTTGGCTTGGACAAGCATGGATGGTGGGTCCTACTGAGGGTCCTACTGATGGACAAAACCCACTTTGCACCAGCTGGAAGATTGTCTTTCAGCCAATACGAAGAGGTTTATTTTTTTAGTTTAAAACCAACTGCAGGGTTTAGGTGTTCTCCAAATTAGGTGTTCCCTAAAACAGTTGCCTTTCGTTTAGTGTTCAAAGGAAATCCTGTCTACGAACGGGTGCTTACTAGGCGCCATGTAGCACAGTGGGGAATCCTGTCCTCTGTACACACCGCCAACACATACAAAGGACTTTGCAATTTAGCGATTGCCAACCAGCACGAAACGGGGGAACACGAGGATTGCTGTCCCAACCCTGGCCACAAGGCGTTTACCAAAAGCCATCCCGACGAATCGAGCTTTGCTTGGCGTCGAACCCATACCAGGGGCTCAGGTGGGTTCGCAAGTTGAGAGCACGGTGCGGGATGCCAGTTCGCTTTCCACTAGAGTTGGGTTGAGACTTTTGGCAGGCAAATTGAATGACCTAAAAAGGGGGAGTGCCCTTCGATCAGTTCAACCCGGTAACCCGACCCAAGTAAATATAATATGACTGCTTGGTCATTTCACAGGGAATCGCCTGGGTATCACAGAGCTTGGGCCGCCGTGGTTGGGTAGGAAAATTGCGCGTCCCCCAGTGTGTCCACTGAACAGCACTAGCGAAGGAAACATGAGAAAGCCAGCTTATGCGCATGAGGAATGCCGGGCACCCTCATACGACACCCCACTGCTGATTACACCCCACTGCTGATTCACGTGGCAGTCAAACGCATTGAGCAGGCAACCAAGAAGTATTCAAACTCATTGTGCAAACACGTGAAGTGAATCGATTGGGAATGCTTTTGGGGGCTGCGGAGGGGAGGGGGGTTTCAGCAGTGGGTGACGAACCAAGGCCTCCAACACAAGAATATTCTGTTCTGGTTGGCTGACTTTATATAAAGTGGCAACCCCTTCCGACTGGGTGTCTGGGACAACTGGAACTCACTGGTTGATTTGCTCGTCCCAACTATGCGATTCCCCTCCAAGTGTTGAGTCCAGCAATTGGCTGCAAGTGTTCCAAACCAAGCTGGCCAAGCGGACTAAACCCACCCCAGCTTTTGCCACCCGAACGTGTCTTCAGATTCTGGTCGCAATTTGGTGAACCCGATGTCAAAACAACTGCATCAAAGAGATCCCCTACCAACCTTGTCCAAACGGGTACCAAAGCGCCCAAGACACGCGACGCTCGCGCCTGATGTCGAGTCGAACACCATCGACTTCCAGCACGCCGCCGATGTGCTGGCCGATGCTTCCGATTTGAGTGACACTAGAGCGTTCAAATGGTGGACCCCTATCTGCTGGAATTTAGGAGTTTTCAATTAAAAACCAAAAGGAAACCAACGATTTTAGGAAAAGGGCTACTACTTTGGACGACCCTGAAATGGCTTCGAACAAATGGATTCATTTCGGATCACACATGACTTTCCTTTGCCACGATTTGATCGGAACCTTTTTGTTAGGATTTATTCAGAAGGGTCTCTGAAGGTCCCGGAGCGGACATTACACTCCGGGAATTCCTGTACACAAACCCTTGAATCCAAGGCTACAGGGGTTGGCTTTAGAACTGAACCATGGTTGAAAAGAATCTGGTCCAAATGAAGGTGAGCGTGTTCTACCCCGGCTGAGATTGTTCTAGTTTTCACAGCATGGGGAAAAATATAAGCCTCGGTGGCATCCCGACAGCAACCCCAGGCTCCACCAGAACCTTGCGGAACATCCAGCCATCGCACGAAGCCTTCGCTCCCGACTTCTCGTGAGTCAACAAATATCTCTCTTTCCTCGTCCGAACCTCTTGGTTGACGTTAGGGGAGCAACAAATAATAATAACGTGGGAAATCCCCACTGAACTGCTGTCAATTTTGGCAGTTCAGTGGTTGGATTTCAACCACTAAACCACAATCAGCAAACATGTAAAATGTTTCCCAACACCAAACATGACCTAAAATCCTGAGGATTCTTGAACGTCTTGTTTGCGAGTCTCCTACCCCGTGAAAATAGGCTTTTCACTCCACACCGTTAAATCCCATGAGTTAGACAATAAGACAATCAGATGCTGGGAAATACCTCCAAACAAGAGAATAATATGAAAGAGACTGAGCTCTAGGATAAATCTGCTGTCACAATGAACGTCACAACATGATGCAGGCTTACCAATGTCCAGGAATGTCCAGGATTAATAGATGGGATGGAGACATAGGTGGGTTCACTGCTAGCTAAAGTCCCATCACCTTCTCTCGCTCATGGGCACCATCCGTCACCATCCTATCATTTATCTAATTTGGAACGGTAAAAGAGACCGCTGGGAGTGAGAAGGAGGGAAAGGGAATGAACAAATAGACGGAGAAGAGATGGAATCCACTGAGCAGCTGGAAGTCGGGTGGGAACCACTCAAACGGAAGTGGTTCAAAGAAACTCTCCTGCGTTCTTCTGACGAGGGCCATGATTTTACCCTCCCACCAACATTGAACCGTAAGCTGACTGAAGGTTGCGGGAAGTTCATTTGCCTCTGAAGAACCCTTCTGGCCATATCCGTATTGGTGGGCGGGGAGGCAGGGTACCCTTCACAAAGATAGTTCGGAGTACCTTCCAGTTGGGGAAAGGACGCCAGAAGCGACTGAGTGTGCAACGGCAGAAATTCCATAACCACTCCCCGCAACCCAGTTGCAATCAATGACCCTAGAAGGGATTCCCTTTGGGGGTCTGGTAAACCTACCAGCACAAGGAGAGCCACTGAACGACTGGGAGAATGTGACTTTGTGCTATTGGACCTTATTTCAAAACTATTTCAAGGCTCCTTCACGGGGTTGGCACCGCATAAGCCTCATAGTAGGAAACAACCTGTTCTGCGATTCGCCAAGCTGGGCCTCCCACCTGTATGACTACTTCGTCCCTTGATTTCCAATACGGAACATGGGATCTCCAAGGCCTCACTGTTGGCGGACATCTACATGAGTGTTTTCCAAATAAATCTTGAGATGTTCATACATCGGCACATGAACAAGTACTTTGGGCGTTCCCTTATGCAGCATCCACCCTACCTTAAGGGGGAGGGGGGTGGGGGTCCCTGATTTTCCATTCATCACAGTATTCCCCACAAAAGGGACAATGGAACCATGAATGGAATTCCAGGGGTTGTCCCTCTCCCCTAAGTCAATTTTCAGGGGGCGTGGATTATGCAATACATCATGCGATTTCACCAGAGTGACCAAACGGTGTGCCGGCAGCCCGACTGACAGACAGGCCTCCTTAAACATCTGCGCTGCTTCCTGGCACCGGGGTGCCACTGGTCATCTGGGGCATGAACATATCCTAGGTCCTCCAGTAGAAAGGTTAGAATAAGGGTACCCTGTTATTCAGTATTCTATTTTAGTAGGGGAACCCTCCCCCAAAAAAAGGTAAAAGGGCACTACTGGGGCACCTAGTATCAGAAACAGTGGTACATGGATACAGGTGACATCAAAAATTATCGGAAGGAACTTGAAAAGGCCCGTAGGAGACCATTTTTCTCGAACTGACATG